GTCTGGATCCTGTTTCCAGGAGTGCCAGCTGAAGGAAGAAATAAGAATGGAGAGGTCAGAGGATTTGGGATATTAGGGAAAAAATTACTGACATATTAGTTCAGAACAGAATACTAACTACAGTACGGGGTTAAATACGAAGATTTCTTCTCCTTATCCTACCTGTGGTGGGAACTCCCAGGTATAATAGTTGGCCTAGAGAATTTCCCTCAATAGGCCTATTTAAGAGTTCTCATTGTTTTGGCTCCTATCCAGAGACATAATATTTCTCAGCTTCTCCTAACATCTTAGTGAGGGGTATGCCATCACAGGATAAACCTCTCCTATTGATTCTACCACCAGCCCCTCTTTAGAATGTTACAACAGGAATGACTAGAAGCCAGTGTTGAAAACTTTTCCAAAATGTTACATCTAAGAACTGGCAGCATGTGTGAACCACTCTGCAGGAAAGCTCACCTCCCAGCAGTCCAGGTTAACAATAGTCCTAGTCAATATTAAACTCCCAGCTGCAGGAGCTCTTACTCACCACCTCTGAATCCAGTTCCAGAAGTGCCACTGCTTTCTGTTAACTTTGTGGCCTCTGATGAAAGAAAATGTTGAAGGGTGAAAATGGAGGAATTGGGATATTAGGAAAAGGATTGTTTGATATTTTATCAGAGCAGAACTAATATCTACATTATGGTTTTAAATATGGAGATTTCTTCTTGTTAACCTACCTGTGTGGGAACTCCCAGGTATAATGGTTGTCCTGGGGAATTCCTGTGGAGCACCTAAAGATGACAAAGATAAAGGCATCAACAGAGCATTAGCTCCCTCTTCAGGACTGAAGCAGCTGTGTGTCCTTGAATGACCAGAAGACCTATCCTTAGCTTCTCTGTTTCAGAGGGAGCTTAGCTGTCCACAACTTTCCACAATGTCCTTCCCTGCCCCACCTATGGATCATTGTTGCTACTGGAGTTCCATTTTTTATTGATGCCAGGGAAAGAGAAAGGAGGTCTTATGTCACCCTCACCTGTTTCACTTCCAGTCCCTGGACTCCCTGGTGTGACAGAGGTGCCTAAAGGAAGAAAAAGGCAGATGATGCTTCATCTTTGTAAAAGTTTGTCATCAAATACCTGAAGGAGTTTGACACTGCAAGGTTTAAAGTGGAAATGTGTGACTCTAATACTCTCATGTGGTGAATTTTCTTAGTGACCCTACCTGGCTTGGTTTTCTGTGAACTGCTGCTGTCTCCAGGTGAAAGTGTTGTGGTACCTATTAAAGCAAGTAATGTGAGCTTCAAAATCAATACACATTTCAAGATTCCACAAATATTGATTAAGCATCTTTTCTATGTAATAATAGTTTAGGCATTTGGATATATCAGTGAGCAGAATATTCAAAGATCCCTCCCCTAATGTGGCTTACATTCTAGCAGCTGGAGACCAACAGTGATCAACAAACATGAAAAGTCAAAGTGACAGATGTTAGTAAAGGCTATAAGAAAATGTCCAACCATATATAAAGGTTGGGGCCTTGTTAGGCAGGAGCAGAGGCACAGGTGGCCTCATACCTGCCAATCAAATAATTAGCTCTGAAGGCCTGGGCCTTGCAGTCTAGATGGGGAATATGAGAATATGATTTTCAGGCTTAATCTAAGTTAGTGACTCCGGCATGCTGTGTTCCCTTAGGAAATACAGGCCATTTCCTTTGCCCACCTTCCCACTTATGTGTTTACTCAACACACAAACAGGGAGTTGGTTAAAAACCCCAGAGATTCAGTTTAAAAAAAAACTCACCTCCTACAAGTCCTGCTAAGGTAGTCCCACTTCCTCCCGTGGAAGTCGTGGCCTCTGATAGAGAAAAGAAGGGAAGGAGTAAGACTAGGTGGTGGGAAAGAGCACACTTGGCTATTGTCAGAATAGATCATAGAAGCTGCCAATGTCAAGTTTGTACTGTATTTCCAGATTTGCCTGTGACATGTCTGCCAGCTTCCAGAGGTTTTCCAGAGACTTTATCAGTATTACTTATAAGAAGAAAATGGTGGTGATCCTAGCTCAGTTGTTTTTTCACTGCATGATTTAAATAAAAATCTACATCTTCATGTAATACCAAACTATAACCCTGTGACTTTTAGTGATAAGAATTCATCCTTATGTGCCCCACGTAACATTTTTTTTCTATAACCATTTTACGGAGTTCTCAACTATCATGTCTCTTTTTATAGCGGGAAGAGAGAAATCTCTCTCTATATACTACGTATTTATTTGTCATTGTTTAGACTCATGGTTGTCTACTGAAGGCCCTTGTAAGCTCAGGCAATAAGAAGGCAATGTAATGTCTAGCTTATCTTTTAAAAACCTGAACTTTCACAACATAACATATATAAATAGTGTAGAAAATTTTTGGAAGATTGCTTTAAGCAGGTTATCATGAAATGTAGATGTTAGCTTAGCACCACTCCCCTGTGTCTATTCAAATTCTAGTTGTGCCACTTTGAATGTTGTGGCCACTGGGGGAAATAGGGTGGAAAAGAGGTAATTAAAGAATATTTCAGGATCACTGAAAATTCATGGTGGTAGTCCTGCAATGAGTAAAATCAGTGCAGACAACTAACCTGTGAGAGGGCATTAGAAAATCCTATGTCACCCTTTTCTTCCCCTAATTTGGAAGTGCCAGGAGCAACAGTTGTGCCAAGGGCTATTCCAGTGATGCCCAAAACACAAAAGTTTTGAGATATTCAACATGTGTCCTGTCCATCTTATGACGTCCTCCCTCTAGAAGGGCTCCATATATATCTTTGATATAGCAAAGGGCCCTGTCTCTACTTCCTGATAAGGTGAGAATCTGGTTTTAATATGATGAATATCAATAAGAAAGCAATAAAAACAGTAATGTTCGCAGCATGAGAAACTGTCCCAGAAATTCCATTCGGTCAAATATGGATAAAGAGGGGCCTTTCTCCTACATTCATGTCTCATCCGCACAGTGGTGCATACCATTCAAGGATAAACAGGAAAATATTTCAATGTCCCAGAAAAATATTGATACAATTATTGGCATTTTGAGCAAGAACCCCTCTGCATAGGATATGTCAGTTTAAGAGTTCACATTGCTTTTTCCTCTCCTCATATATATAATATTTCTCATCTCACACTGACATCCTAGTGATGTCTGTGTCATCACAAGTTAAATCTCTCATACTGATTTCATCAGCAGCGTTTCCTTACAAAGTTACACCTGTAAGACTGGAAGCCAATATTGAGAGTTTTCCAAAAAAATTAAATCTAAGAAAAACTGGAAGAAAATGAGAACCACTCTGACAGAAAGCACCCCTCCAAGCAAGCCAGGGTAAGAAGAGCCATCATTACTGGTAAACCCCAACTGCGGAAACTCTTCCTCACCAGTTCTGAATTCAGTTCCAGATGTGCCACTGCCTTCGGTTGACGTTGTAGCCTCTGAAAGAGGAAAATGGTGAAGGGTGAGGAATGCGGATTTGAGACATGAGAGAAGAATTATGTTGATATTTTATCACTGGAGACATAATGATATTGGGTTTAAATGTGGAGATTTCTTCTTGTTAACCTATATGTGTGGGAACCCCCAGATATAATGATTTTCCTAGTGAATTCCTGTGTAGGACTTAAAAATGAGAAAGATAAAGCCATCAATACAGCATTAGCTCCCTCTTCGGTACTGAAGCAGCTGTGTGTCCTAGAATGACCAGAAGACCTTTTCTTAGGATCTCTGTTTCAGAGGGAACATAACTGTCCATATCGTTCCACAATGTCCTTCCCTGCCCCACCTATGGATCATTGTTGCTACTGGAGTTCCCTTTTCCAAGATCCGAGTGCAAGAGAACGGAGGTCTTATATCACCCTCACCTGCTCCACTTATAGTCCCTGGACTCCCTGGTGTAACAGAGTTGCCTAAAGGAAGAAAAAGGCAGATGATGCTTCATCTTTGTAAAAGTTTGTCATCAATTTCCTGAAGGCTTTTGACACTGCAAGGTTTAAAGTAGAAATGTGTGACTGTAATACTCTCATGTGGTGAATTTACTTAGTTACCCTACCTGGCGTGGTTTTCTGTGAACTGCTGCTGGCTCCAGGTGAAAGTGTTGTGGTACCTATTAAAGCAAGTAGTGTGAGCTTCAGAATCAATACACATTTCTTGATTCCACAAGTATTGATTAAGCATCTTTTCTATGTAATAATAGTTTAGGCATTTGGATATATCAGTGAGCAGAATATTCAAAGATCCCTCCCCTAATGTGGCTTACATTCTAGCAGCTGGAGACCAACAGTGATCAACAAACATTAAAAGTCAAAGTGACAGATGTTAGAAAAGGCTACAAGAAAATGTCCAACCATATATAAAGGTTGGGACCTTGATAGGCAGGGGCAGGGCCACAGGGTGGCCTCATACCTGCCAATCAAAGAACTAGCTCTGTAGGCCTGGGCCTTGATATCTAGATGGGAAATATGAGAATATGGTTTTCAAGCTTAATCTAAATTTGTGACTCTGGCATGCTCTGTTCCCTGAGGAAATACAGGTCCATTTCCTTTGCCTTCAACTGTTTCCCTCCCACTCATGTGTTTACTCTACTCACAATCAGGGATTTTATTCAAAACGCCAGAGATTCAGTTAAAAATAAAACTCACCTCGGACAAGTCCTGCTTGCGTAGTCCCACTTCCTTCCGTGGAAGTCGTGGCCTCTGAGAGAGAAAAGAAGGGAAGGAGTAAGACTAGGTGGTGGGAAAGAACACACTTGGCTATTGTCAGAATAGATCATACAAGCTGCCAATGTCAAGTTTGTACTGTATTTTCAGATTTGTCTGTGGCATACATTCCAGGTTCCAGAGGTTTTCCAGAGACTTTTCCAATATTACTTAGAAGAAGAAAATGGTGGTGGTCCTCGCTCAATCGTTTTTCACTGCATGATTTAAATAAACATCTACATCTTCATCTGATAGCAAACTATAACCCTGTCACTTTTACTGCCAAGAAGTCATCCAAAGTGCCCTATGCAACATTTTTTTTTCTATAGCTATTTTACCTAGTTCTCAACTATCATGTCTCTTTTTATGGAGGGAACATAGAAATATCTCTCTATATGCCACCTTTTTATTGGTCATTGTTTAGACTCATGGTTGTCTACTGAAGGCCCTTGTACGCTTAGGAAATAAGGAGGCAATTTAATGTGTAGGTTATCTCATTAAAATCTGAACTTTCCCAAGAGTAACATATATAAATAGTGTAGAAAATTTTTGGAAGACTGTTTTAAGGTTATTATAATATGTATGTGTTAGCTTAGGAACACTCCCCTGTGTCTATTCCAATTCTAGTTGTACCACTTTGAATATTATGGCCACTGGGGAAAATAGGGTAGAAAAGAGGTAATGAAAGAATATTTCAGGATTACTGAAAATACAATAAATAATATCAGTGCAGACAACTAATCTTTGAGCGGGCATGAGAAAATCCTATGTGAACCTGTTGCCTCCCCTATGTTGGAAGTGACAGGAGCAACAGTTGTGCCAAGGGCTATTCTAGTGGTGCCTGAAACACAAAAGGTTTGAGATCTTTAACATGTGTCCTGTCCATCTCCTGACGTCCTCCCTCCAGAAGGGCTCTAGGTGTATCTTTGTTATAGCAAAGGGCCCTGTCTCTACTTCCTGATGAGGTGAGAATCTGGTTTTATTAGGACCAATATCAGTAAGAAAGCAATAAATACAGTAATGTTCTCAGCAAGAGAAACTGTCCCAGCAATTCCATTCAGTCAAATATGGTTACAAGGGGCCTTTCTCCTACATTCATGTCTCATCCGCACAGTGGTGCCTCCCACACAAGGATAAACAGGAAAATATTTCAATGTCCCAGAAAAATATTGATACAATTATTGGCATTTTGAGCGAGAACCCTGTGCATAGGATATGCCTGTTTAAGAGTTCACATTGCTTTTCCTTCTCCTCAGATACATAATATTTCTCATCTCACTGACATCCTAGTAATGTCTATGCAATCACATGTTAAATCTCTCATACTGATTTCACCAGCAGCCTTTCCTTACAAAGTTACACCTGTAAGACTGGAAGCCAATATTGAGAGTTTTCCAAAATATCCTAAATCTAAGAACTGGAAGCAAATGAGAACCACTCCCATCAGTCAGGCTATGAAGAGCCATCGTTACTGGTAAACCCCAACTGCAGAAACTCTTCCTCACCAGTTCTGAATCCAGTTCCCGATGTGCCAGTGCCTTCTGTTGATGTTGTAGCCTCTTCTGAAGGAAGACAATGGTGAAGGGTGAGGAATGAGGATTTGTGATAGGAGAGAAGAATTATGGTGATATTATATCAGTGGAGACATAATGATATTGGGTGTAAATGTGGAGATTTCTTCTTGTGAACCTATCTGTGTGGGAACCCCCAGATATAATGATTTTCCTAGTGAATTCCTGTGTAGGACTTAAAAATGAGGAAGATAAAGCCATCAACACAGCATTAGCTCCCTCTTCAGGCCTGAAGCTGCTGTGTGTCCTTGAATGACCAGAAGACCTTTTCTTAGTATCTCTGTTTCAGAGGGAACATAACTGTCCATATCTTTCCACAATGTCCTTCCCTGCCCCACCTATGGATCATTCTTGCTACTGGAGTTCCCTTTTCCAAGATCCTAATGAAAGAGAAAGGAGGTCTTATGTCACCCTTACCTGTTCCACTTCCAGTCCCTGGACTTCCAGGTTTGACAGAGGTTCCTAAAGGAAGAAAAAGACAGATGATGCTTCATTTTTGTAAAAGCTCGTCATTAATTACATGGGCTTTGGACTAAGAAGCTTACCTCCTGGCAATCTTCCCTGCGTAGCCTTACTGCCTCCTGTGGAAGTTGTGGATTCTAAGAGAAGGGGGAAAAAAAAAACTCTTGTTATTCCACCATCTTCTACAGAAGTCCTGGCCCCCAATATAGAGGAAAAGAGGATAGAGATCATTGAAAATTATTTGAGGACCACAGAAAGGTAAGGTAGTTCTGCTACACAGGATAATAATAGAAGAGGAATCTCATCTGATAGATTCCCTGCCACCTTGTTGACTTACCTGTGTTGGAACTGCCAGGTGCAACTGTTGTGCCAACAGCTGGCCCAGTGGTGCCTGAAACACAAAAGTTCTGAGATCTTCAAAGGTGCCTCTTGGTGACTCCTATACAGCTCTTAAAGAGCTGCCTCTAGAAAGAATCTAAGTGTATCTTTCTTATATCAAAGGGCCCTTTCACTACTTCCTGATGAGGTGACAATCATATAACTTTCCTATAATCCATATCATTAAGAAAGTAGTAAAAACTGCAATATTTCCAATGTAAGGCACCCTCTACAGACATCCCATTCACTTAAAATGAAGAAGAAAGCTGGGTTTCTCCCAGGCTCACCTGTCACACTCCCAGTTGCTTGGCCTGGTGGCACTGCAGTGGCGACTAATGTGAGAGGAAAACCAGAAACGATTTGAATGTGCCAAAAAATACTGACTATCCCTATTGCACTTTTAAGCAAGAGGGCCTATATGTAGCACAGGCTAAAGAGTTCACATTGCTTTCTCTTCTACCCACATATAGAATATTTCTCAGGTCTTCTATCATCTTAGTGATGTGTATGCCATCAAAGAGGAAACATCTTACAGGGATTTCACCAATAGCCATTCCTAAGGAAGTTACAGCTGTGAGGCATGAGCAGGCATTGACAGTTTATTGCTACTATGTTAAATCAAAGAAAATACTGAGTAAATACAAACAACTTCTCAGGAAAGAACACCTCCAAAATAGGAGCTTTTGGAGAGTCCTAATGAGTGGTAAACCCCAACTGTGAGGTACTCATTCTCACCTGGTCTGGATCCTGTTCCAGGAGTGTCAGCTGAAGGAAGAAATGAGGAATGGAGAGGTCAGAGGATTTGGGATATTAAGGAAAAAATTACTGACAAATTAGATCAGAACAAGAATACTAACTACAATATGGGGTTAAATATGAAGATTTCTTCTCCTTATCCTACCTGTGTGGGAACTCCCAGGTATAATAGTTGGCCTAGAGAATTTCCCTCAATAGGCCTGTTTAAGAGTTCTCATTGTTTTGGCTCCTTCCCAGAGACATAATATTTCTCAGTTTCTCCTAACATCTTAGTGAGGGGTATGCCATCACAGGATAAACCTCTCCTATTGATTCTACCACCAGCCCCTCTTTAGAATGTTACAACTGGAAAGACTAGAAGCCAGTGTTGAGAACTTTTCCAAAATGTTACATCTAAGAACTGGCAGCATGTGTGAACCACTCTGCAGGAAAGCTCACCTCCCAGCAGTCCAGGTTAACAATAGTCCTAGTCAATATTAAACTCCCAGCTGCAGGAGCTCTTACTCACCACCTCTGAATCCAGTTCCAGAAGTGCCACTGCTTTCTGCTAACGTTGTGGCCTCTGATGAAAGAAAATGGTGAAGGGTGAGAATGGAGGAATTGGGATATTAGGAAAAGGATTGTTTGATATTTTATCAGAGCAGACCTAATATCTATATTATGGTTTTAAATATGGAGATTTCTTCTTGTTAACCTACCTGTGTGGGAACTCCCAGGTATAATGGTTGTCCTGGGGAATTCCTGTGGAGCACCTAAAGATGACAAAGATAAAGGCATCAACAGAGCATTAGCTCCCTCTTCAGGACTGAAGCAGCTGTGTGTCCTTGAATGACCAGAAGACCTATCCTTAGGATCTCTGTTTCAGAGGGAGCTTAGCTGTCCACAACTTTCCACAATGTCCTTCCCTGCCCCACCTATGGATCATTGTTGCTACTGGAGTTCCCTTCTTTACTGATGCCAGGGAAAGAGAAAGGAGGTCTTATGTCACCCTCACCTGTTTCACTTCCACTCCCTGGACTCCCTGGTGTGACAGAGGTGCCTAAAGGAAGAAAAAGGCAGATGATGCTTCATCTTTGTAAAAGTTCGTCATCAATTACCTGAAGGCGTTTGACACTGCAAGGTTTAAAGTGGAAATATGTGACTCTAATACTCTTATATGGTGAATTTTCTTAGTGACCCTACCTGGCTTGGTTTTCTGTGAACTGCTGCTGGCTCCAGGTGAAAGTGTTGTGGTACCTATTAAAGCAAGTAATGTGAGCTTCAAAATCAATACACATTTCAAGATTCCACAAATATTGATTAAGCATCTTTTCTATGTAATAATGTTTTAGGCGTTTGGATATATCAGTGAGCAGAATATTCAAAGATCCCTCCCCTAATGTGGCTTACATTCTAGCAGCTGGAGACCAACAGTGATCAACAAACATGAAAAGTCAAAGTGACAGATGTTAGTAAAGGCTACAAGAAAATGTCCAACCATATATAACGGTAGGGCCTTAATAGGCAGGAGCAGGGCCACAGGGTGGCCTCGTACCTGCCAATCAGAGAACTAGCTCTGTAGGCCTGGGCCTTGCAATCTTGATGGGAAATATGAGAATATGGTTTTCAGGCTTATCTAAGTTTGTGACTCTGGCATGCTGTGTTCCCCAAGGAAGTACAGGCCCATTTCCTTTGTCCACCTTCCTACTCATGTGTAACACACAAACAGGGAGTTGGTTAAGAACCTCAGATATTCAGTTTAAAGTAAAACTCACCTGTGACAAGCCCTGCTTGGGTAGTCCCACTTCCTCCCATGGAAGTAGTGGCCACTGATAGAGAAAAGAATACAAAGAAGTAAGACTAGGTGGTGGGAAAGAACACACTTGGCTATTGTCAGAATAGATCATACAAGCTGTCAATGTCAAGTTTGTACTGTATTTTCAGATTTGCCTGTGACATGTCTGCCAGCTTCCAGAGGTTTTCCATTGACTTTATCAGTATTACTTACAAGAAGAAAATAGTGGTGATCCTAGCTCAGTTGTTTTTTCACCGCATGATGTAAATAAAAATCTACATCTTCATGTAATACCAAACTATAACCCTGTGACTTTTAGTGTTAAGAATTCAACCTTACGTGGCCCACGTAACATTTTTTTTGTATAACCATTTTGCTGAGTTCTCAACTATCATGTCTCTTTTTATAGCGGGAAGAGAGAAATCTCTCTCTCTGTACTCTCTATTTATTTGTCATTGTTTAGACTCATGGTTGTCTACTGAAGGCCCTTGTACGCTCAGGCAATAAGAAGGCAATGTAATGTCTAGCTTATCTTTTAAAAACCTGAACTTTCACAACATAACATATATAAATAGTGTAGAAAATGTTTGGAAGATTGCTTTAAGCAGGTTATCATGAAATGTAGGTGTTAGCTTAGCACCACTCCCCTGTGTCTATTCAAATTCTACTTGTGTCACTTTGAATGTTGTGGCCACTGGGGGAAATAGGGTGGAAAAGAGGTAATGAAAGAATATTTCAGGATCACTGAAAATTCATGGTGGTAGTCCTGCAATGAATAAAATCAGTGCAGACAACTAACCTGTGAGAGGCCATTAGAAAATCCTATGTCACCCTTTCCTTCCCCTAATTTGGAAGTGCCAGGAGCAACAGTTGTGCCAAGGGCTATGCCAGTGATGCCCAAAACACAAAAGGTTTGAGATATTCAACATGTGTCCTGTCCATTTCCTGATGTCCTCCAGGGACTCCATATATATCTTTGATATAGCAAAGGGCCCTGTCTCTACTTCCTGATGAGGTGAGACTCTGGTTATAATATGACCAACATCAGTATGAAAGCAATAAAAACAGTAATGTTCTCAGCATGAGAAACTGTCCCAGAAATTCCATTCAGTCAAATATGTTTAAAGAGGGGCCTTTCTCCTACATTCATGTCTCATCCGCTCAGTGGTGCCTCCCATACAAGGATAAACAGGAAAGTATTTCAATGTCCCAGAAAAATATTGATACAATAATTGGCATTTTGAGCGAGAACCGTGTGCATAGGATATGCCTGTTTAAGAGTTCACATTGCTTTTCACTCTCCTCATATATATAAGATTCCTCATCTCACACTGACAGCCTAGTGATGTCTGTGCTATCACAACTTAAATCTCTCATACTGATTTCACCAGCAGCCTTTCTTTACAAAGTTACACCTGTAAGACTGGAAGCCAATATTGAGAGTTTTCCAAAATATGTTAATTCTAAGAAGAACTGGAAGCAAATGAGAACCACTCTGCAGGAAAGCACCCGTCCCAGCAGTCAGGCTAAGAAGAGCCATCATTAATGTTAAACCCCAACTGCGGAAACTCTTCCTCACCAGTTCTGAATCCAGTTCCAGATGTGCCACTGCCTTCTGTTGATGTTGTAGCCTCTTCTGAAGGAAGACAATGGTGAAGGGTGAGGAATGAGGATTTGTCATAGGAGAGAAGAATTATGTTGATATTTTATCAGTGGAGACATAATTTTATTTGGTGTAAATGTGGAGATTTCTTCTTGTGAACCTATCTGTGTGGGAACCCCCAGATATAATGATTTTCATAGTGAATTCCTGTGTAGTACTTAAAAATGAGAAAGATGAAGCCTTCAACACAGCATTAGCTCCCTCTTCAGGCCTGAAGCTGCTGTGTGTCCTTGAATGACCAGAAGACCTTTTCTTAGGATCTCTGTTTCAGAGGGAACATAACTGTCCATATCTTTCCACAATGTCCTTCCCTGCCCCACCTACGGATCATTGTAGCAACTGGAGTTCCCTTTCCCAAGACCCTAGTGAAAGAGAACGGAGGTCTTATGTCACCCTTACCTGTTCCACTTCCAGTCCCTGGACTTCCAGGTGTGACAGAGTTGCCTAAAGAAGAAAAAGACAGATGATGCTTCATTTTTGTAAAAGTTTGTCATTAATTACATGGGCCTTGGACTAAGAAGCTTACCTCCTGGCAATCTTCCCTGCGTAGCCTTACTGCCTCCTGTGGAAGTTGTGGCTTCTAAGAGAAGGGAGAAAAAAAAAACCAAACTCTTGTTATTCCACCATCTTCTACAGAAGTCCTGGCCCCCAATATAGAGGAAAAGAGGATAGAGATCATTGAAAATTATTTGAGGACCACAGAAAGGTAAGGTAGTTCTGCTACACAGGATAATAATAGAAGAGGAATCTCATCTGATAGATTCCCTGCCACCTTGTTGACTTACCTGTGTTGGAACTGCCAGGTGCAACAGTTGTGCCAACAGCTGGCCCAGTGGTGCCTGAAACACAAAAGTTCTGAGATCTTCAAAGGTGCCTCTTGGTGACTCCTATACAGCTCTTAAAGAGCTGCCTCTAGAAAGAATCTAAGTGTATCTTTCTTATATCAAAGGGCCCTTTCACTACTTCCTGATGAGGTGACAATCATATACCTTTCCTATAATCCATATCATTAAGAAAGTAGTAAAAACTGCAATATTTCCAATGTAAGGCACCCTCTACAGACATCCCATTCACTTAAAATGAAGAAGAAAGCTGGGTTTCTCCCAGGCTCACCTGTCACACTCCCAGTTGCTTGGCCTGGTGGCACTGCAGTGGCGACTAATGTGAGAGGAAAACCAGAAACGATTTGAATGTGCCAAAAAATACTGACTATCCCTATTGCACTTTTAAGCAAGAGGGCCTATATGTAGCACAGGCTAAAGAGTTCACATTGCTTTCTCTTCTACCCACATATAGAATATTTCTCAGGTCTTCTATCATCTTAGTGATGTGTATGCCATCAAAGAGGAAACCTCTTACAGGGATTTCACCAATAGCCATTCCTAAGGAAGTTACAGCTGTGAGGCATGAGCAGGCATTGACAGTTTATTGCTACTATGTTAAATCAAAGAAAATACTGAGTAAATACAAACAACTCCTCAGGAAAGAACACCTCCAAAATGGGAGCTTTTGGAGAGTCCTAATTAATGGTAAACCCCAACTGAGAGGTACTCATTCTCACCTGGTCTGGATCCTGTTCCAGGAGTGTCAGCTGAAGGAAGAAATGAGGAATGGAGAGGTCAGAGGATTTGGGATATAAAGGAAAAAATTACTGACAAATCAGATCAGAACAAGAATACTAACTACAATATGGGGTTAAATATGAAGATTTCTTCTCCTTATTCTACCTGTGTGGGAACTCCCAGGTATAATAGTTGGCCTAGAGAATTTCCCTCAATAGGCCTGTTTAAGAGTTCTCATTGTTTTGGCTCCTTCCCAGAGACATAATATTTCTCAGCTTCTCCTAACATCTTAGTGAGGGGTATGCCATCACAGGATAAACCTCTCCTATTGATTCTACCACCAGCCCCTCTTTAGAATGTTACAACTGGAACGACTAGAAGCCAGTGTTGAGAACTTTTCCAAAATGTTACATCTAAGAACTGGCAGCATGTGTGAACCACTCTGCAGGAAAGCTCACCTCCCAGCAGTCCAGGTTAACAATAGTCCTAGTCAATATTAAACTCCCAGCTGCAGGAGCTCTTACTCACCACCTCTGAATCCAGTTCCAGAAGTGCCACTGCTTTCTGTTAACGTTGTGGCCTCTGATGAAAGAAAATGGTGAAGGGTGAGAATGGAGGAATTGGGATATTAGGAAAAGGATTGTTTGATATTTTATCAGAGCAGACCTAATATCTATATTATGGTTTTAAATATGGAGATTTCTTCATGTTAACCTACCTGTGTGGGAACTTCCAGGTATAATGGTTGTCCTGGGGAATTCGTGTGGAGCACCTAAAGATGACAAAGATAAAGGCATCAACAGAGCATTAGCTCCATCTTCAGTACGGAGGCAGCTGTGTGTCCTTGAATGACCAGAAGACCTATCCTTAGGATCTCTGTTTCAGAGGGAGCTTAGCTGTCCACAACTTTCCACAATGTCCTTCCCTGCCCCACCTATTGATCATTGTTGCTACTGGAGTTCCCTTCTTTACTGATGCCAGGGAAATAGAAAGGAGGTCTTATGTCACCCTCACCTGTTTCACTTCCACTCCCTGGACTCCCTGGTGTGACAGAGGTGCCTAAAGGAAGAAAAAGGCAGATGATGCTTCATCTTTGTAAAAGTTCGTCATCAATTACCTGAAGGCTTTTTGACACTGCAAGGTATAAAGTAGAATTGTGTGACTCTAATACTCTCATGTGGTGAATTTACTTAGTGACCCTACCTGGCTTGGTTTTCTGTGAACTGCTGCTGGCTCCGGGCGAAAGTGTTGTGGTACCTATTAAAGCAAGTAGTGTGAGCTTCAAAATCAATACACTTTTCATGATTCCACAAATATTTACTAAGCATCTTTTCTATGTAATAATGTTTTAGGCGTTTGGATATATCAGTGAGCAGAATATTCAAAGATCCCTCCCCTAATGTGGCTTACATTCTAGCAGCTGGAGACCAACAGTGATCAACAAACATGAAAAGTCAAAGTGACAGATGTTAGTTAGTAAAGACTATAAGAAAATGTCTAACCATATATAAAGGTTGAGGCATTGATAGGCAGGAGCAGGGCCACAGGGTGGCTCCATATCTGCCAATCAAAGAACTAGCTCTGTAGGCCTGGGCCTTGCAATCTAGATGGGGAATATGAGAATATGGTTTTCAGGCTTATCTAAGTTTGTGACTCTGGCATCCTGTTTTTCCCGAGGTAATACAGGCCCATTTCCTTCACCTTCAAGTGTTTCCTTCCCACTCAAGTGTTTACTCTACTCACAATCAGGGATTTGATTCAAACCCCAGAGATTCAGTTTAATATAAAACTCACCTCCTACAAGTCCTGCTTGGGTAGTTCCACTTCCTCCCGTGGAAGTAGTGGCCTCTGATAGAGAAAAGAAGGGAAGGAGTAAGACTAGGTGGTGGGAAAGAACACACTTGGCTGTTGTCAGAATAGATCATACAAGCTGCCAATGTCAAGTTTGTACTGTATTTTCAGATTTGCCTGTGACATATCTTCCAGGTTCCAGAGTTTTTGCAGAGACTTTTCCAATATTACTTCCAAGAAGAAATGGTGGTGGTCCTAGCTCAATTGTTTTTTCATCACGTGATTTACATAAAAATCTACATCTTCATGTAATAGCAAACTATAACCCTGTCACTTTTACTGCCAAGAAGTCATCCAAAGTGCCCTATGCAACATTTTTTTTTCAATAACTATTTTACTGAGTTCTCAACTATCATGTCTCCTTTTATGTAGGGAACATAGAAATATCTCTGTATATATTACCTATTTATTGGTCATTGGTTAGACTCATGGTTGTCTACTGAAGGCCCTTGTAAGCTTAGGCAATAAGGCGGCAATTTAATGTGTAGCTTATCTCATTAAAATCTGAACTTTCCCAGCAGTAACATATATAAATATTGTAGAAAATTTTTAGAAGACTGCTTTAAAAGGTTATTATGATATGTAGGTGTTCGCTTAGGAACACTCCCCTGTGTCTATTCCAATTCTAGTTGTACCACTTTGAATGTTGTGGCCACTGGGGAAAATAGGGTAGAAAAGAGGTAATGAAAGAATATTTCAGGATCACTGAAAATACAATGAATAATATCAGTGCAGACAACTAATCTTTGAGAGGGCATGAGAAAATCCTATGTCACCCTGTTGCCTCCCCTATGTTGAAAGTGCCAGGAGCAACAGTTGTGCCAAGGGCTATTCTAGTGGTGCCTGAAACACAAAAGGTTTGAGATCTTTAACATGTGTCCTGTCCATCTCCTGACGTCCTCCCTCCAGAAGGGCTCTAGGTGTATATTTGTTATAGCAAAGGGTCCTGTCTCTACTTCCTGATAAAGTGAGAATCTGGTTTTAATATGACGAATATCAGTAAGAAAGCAATAAAAACAGTAATGTTCTCAGGATGAGAAACTGTCCCAGAAATTCCATTCAGTCAAATGTGGTTAAAGAGGGGCCTTTCTCCTACATTCATGTCTCATCCTCACAGTGGTGCCTACCATTCAAGGATAAACAGGAAAATATTTCAATGTCCCAGAAAAATATTGATATAATTATTGGCATTTTGAGCAAGAACCCCCTGCATAGGATATGCCTGTTTAAGCGTTCACATTGCTTTTCCCTCTCCTCAGATACATAATATTTCTCATCTCACACTGACATCCTAGTGATGTCTGTGCCATCCCAAGTTAAATCTCTCATACTGATTTCACCAGCAGCCTTTCCTTACAAAGTTATACTTGTAAGACTAGAAGCCAATATTGAGAGTTTTCCAAAATATGTTAATTCTAAGAAGAACTGGAAGCAAATGAGAACCACTCTGCAGGAAAGCACCCGTCCCAGTGGCCAGGCTAAGAAGAGCCATCATTAATGGTAAACCCCAACTGCGGAAACTCTTCCTCACCAGTTCTGAATCCAGTTCCTGATGTGCCACTCCCTTCTGTTGATGCTGTAGCCTCTGAAGGAAGAAAATGGTGAAGGGTGAGGATTGAGGATTTGTGATATGAGAGAAGAATTATGTTGATATTTTATCAGTGGAGACATAATGTTATTGGGTTTAAATATGGAGATTTCTTCTTGTGAACCTATCTGTGTGGGGACCCCCAGATATAATGCTTGCCCTAGTGAATTCCTGTGTAGCACCTAAAAATGAGATAGATAAAGCCATCAATACAGAAGTAGCTCCCTCTTCGGTACTGAAGCAGCTGTGTGTCCTTGAATGACCAGAAGACCTTTTCTTAAGACCTCTATTTCAGAAGGACATGAACTGTCAATGACTTTCCACAATTTCATCTCCTAAACACCTATGTAACACTGTTGCTACTGGAGTTCTCTTTCTCATCGGTCCGAGTAAAGTCCTTATGTCACCCTCACCTGTTTCAGTTCCAGTCCCAGGACTCCCTGGTGCGACAGACGTGCCTACAAGGGGAAAAAGGGCACATGTGTTTTCATCTTTGTAAAAGTTAGTTATCAATTACCTGAGGGCTTTTTACATTCCAAGGTTTAAAGTAGAACTTTGTGACTCTAATACTCTCATATGGTCAATTTACTTAGTGACCCTACCTGGCTTGGTTTTCTGTGAACTGCTGCTGGCTCCAGGTGAAAGTGTTGTGGTACCTATTAACACAAGTAGAGTGAAGCTTTAACATAAGATTAAGTTTCATGTTCCATTGATACTTATTAAGTCTTCTGTGCAATATTGTGTAAGGCATTTGAATGTAACTGTGAGCACTATAATCAAAGATCCCTCCCCTAATGTGCCTTATATTCTATCAAGTGAAGGAGAGCAGTAAACAATAAACACAATGAAATGGTTAATGGGGCAGATGTTAATTAAGTGCTATGGAAAAATGGCAATCTTAATATGAGAACTGGGGCCTTTGTAGGCAGGGACTGGTCCGCAGGTGGGCCTCATCCCTACCATCCAACAATTAGATTGCGAGCTTGGGCCTCTGAAAATCCAGATGGATATATGTGAGGCCATGGAATTCCAAGGTCGACTATGATGTTTCAATCTGGCATATTGTGTTCCCAAAAAAGTGAAGGCAGATTTCCTCAGTGTGTTCATTCTAACCCCATAGAGATTAATTAGCATTAAAAAGCTCACCTTCCAGAAGTCCTGCTTGGGTGGTCCCACTTCCTCCCATGGAAGTTGTGGCCTCTGATAAAGAAAAGAAAGAAAGGAGTAAAGACTAGTTGGTGGAAAAGTCCACACTGTGCTACTCAAAATATATCATCCAAGGAGCTAATGTCCAACTTTTACATGTAGTTCCAGACTAACCTGTGGTGTAAGGTCCAGGTTCTGGAGTTTTTCCAGAGACTATACCAGTAGTACCTGAAACAAGAAAGAATATAAGGCTTATCCTAGAGAATTCCCATGTAGCATCTAAAAATTAGAAAGATAAAGACTTTAACACAGTATTAGATACCCCTTCATCCTGAAGCACCTATGCGGCCTTGAACTTCTAGAAGACCTTACCTGAGACCTCTAATTCTGAAAGAAATGAGCCATCAATGACTTTCCATAACTTCCTCTTTTGACTGAGTTTCTAATTATTGTTCCTACTGGAGTATCCTTTTCCTTAGATCCCACTGAATGTGGAAGGAAATCTTTTTTTTTTTTAATTTTCTGTATTGATTAAGGTATTACATATGTGTCCTTATCTCCCCATTAATGGAAGGAAATCTTAAGAACCCTCACCTGGTTCACTTCCAGTCCCCGAACTTCCAGGTGTGACAGTGGTGCCTAAAGGAGGGAAAAGATTGATGATGGGGTTATGTTTTTAAATGTTATTTATCAATTATTTCAGGTATTTTGATATTCTGATGTTTAAATTGGAATTCTGTGGTCCTAATACTCTCATACGATGAATTTATTTGGTCTATCCTACCTACCTGGCTTGGTTTTCTGCGAACTGCTGCTGGCTCCAGGTGAAAGTGTGGTGGTACCTATCAATGCAAGTAGAGTGAAGCTTCAACATAAGCATATGCTTCATCATTCCACTGACATTTTTTAAGCAAGTCTTTTGTCCAATATTGTTTTGGCTTTTGGATATATCAGTAAGCAGAATATTCAAAGATCCCTTAATGCAGTGGGTCTTAACCTTGGCTGCACATTAGAATCACCTGGGAATCTTTTTAAAATCCTGATTTCTGGGCCTCATCCAGGATGATTCCCTTCATAAATATTTGCTTAGTGATGTGTATGCCATCACAAGTTAAACCTCCCATACCGATTTTACCACCAGCCCTTCTGTACAAAGTTATACATGTGAGACTAGAAGCCAGTATTGAGACATGTGCAAACCACTCTGCAGGAAAGCACACCTCCAGCAGGCCAGACTAAGAAGAGTCACCACTAATAGTAAACCCCAACTGCCGGAACTCTTTCTCACCAGTTCTGAATCCAGTTCCAGAAGTGCCACTGCTTTCTGTTAATGTTGTGGCCTCTGAAGGAAGAAAATGATAAAGGATTTGAGATATGAGAAGAGAATTATGTGATTTTTTTTTTATCAGAACACGTCTACTAACTACATTATGAGTTTATATATGGAGACTCTTGCTAACCCACCTGTGTTGGAACCTTCAGATACACTGGTTGTCCTAGCGAGTCCCTGTGTAGCACCTAAATATGAGAAATATAAAGGCATCAACACAGCATTAGTTCTCTCCTTCAAACTACATTAACTCCATGGCCTTGAACTCCTAGACGGCCATGCCTGAGACTTCTATTTCAGAAATAACCAGCCATCAGTGACCTACCACAACTTTCTATCCTGAACAACCTACTAATCACTGTTTCTACTGGAGTTTCCCTTTCTACACATCCCAGTGAGAGTGAAAGGAGACCTATGTCACCCTCACCTGTTTTACTTCCAGTCCCTGGGCTCCCTGGTGTGGCAGAGGTGCCTAAAGGAGAAAAGAGGCAGATAATGGTTTCAGCTTTCTAAATGGTACTCATCAATTACTTGAGATATTTTTATATTCTGAGATTCAAAGTATAACTCTGTGACTCTGATACTCTCATATGGTGCATTTATTTAGAGACCCTACATGGTTCAGAATTCCGTGAACTGCTGTTGGCTCAGGAACAAGTATGGTGCTACCTATTAATGCAAGTAGAGTGCAGCTTCAAAATAACTATCTGTTTATCCTCCTATTGATATTTCTTAAGCAAATCTTCTGAGCAATTTTGTTTTAGGATTATTTTGATTGTATCAGTGAGCACAACATTCAAAGTTTCTTCCCTATGTGGCTTATATTCTAACAGCTGGAGGCTAGCAGTGAACAGTACACATGATAAACAAGTCAATTTGATGCATGTTAATAGGTGCTATGGGAAAATGGCAAACCATATTTAAGAATTGGGTCCAGGCAGGCAGGGGCTGGCCTATTGGTAGGTCATCCCTGCCATCCAATCAGGAGCTCTGAAACCCAGGGTATGTGCAAAGTCAGAGGAAGACATGTGACACCAGAGATTTCCAAGGTAGACCCAGGTTTGTGACTCGGGCATGCTCTGTTCCCATAGGGAATGCAGGCCTATTTCTTCAGCCCACCTTCCCACTCATGTCTTCACTGCTGCCACATAAACAGAGATAGGATTTTTTTTTTTAAGCCCCAAACCTCATAATGTAAAAGCTCACCTCCTACAAGTCCGGCTTGTGTGGTCTCAATTCCTTTTGTAGAAGTCGTGGCCTCTGATAGAGAAAATAAGGGAAGGAGTAAGACTAGGTGGTAGGAAAGTACACATTGTGTTAATGTCAGAATATATGATCCAAGGAGCCATAGTGAAGTGTTTCATATATATTTAGACTTAGTGGTTGTCCTAGAGAACCCCTGTGTAGCATCTAAAAATGAGAAAGATAAAGGCATCAGCACAGCATCAACTCCCTCTTCAGTACTGGGTAGTTTTGTATCCTGGAATGACCAAGAGATGTTTCCTGGGTCCTCTATTTCTGAATGAAATGAACCATCTATAACTTTCCACAATTTCCTTTGCTGACACACTTATTTATCACAGTTGCTACCGGAGTTTCTCTTGCCCAGCTCTCACTGAAAGTGAAAACAGACCTGGTGTTTCCCTCACCTGTTTCACTTCCTGGGCTCCCTGGTGTGACAGAGGTGCCCAAGGGAGAAAAGAGGCATAGAATCAATATAACTTTCTAAATGTTACTCATCAATTACTTGAGGTATTTTGATATTCTGATGTTTGAGAGAAATCTGTGACTCTACTACTCTCCTAAGAAAATGTATTTAGTGTATCCTACCTGGCTTGGTTTTCTGTGAGCTGCTGCTGGCTCCAGGTGAAAGCGTGGTGCTACCTATTAAAGCAAGTAGAGTGAAGCTTCGACACAAGTGCACAGTTCCTCATTCCACTGTGCAATGTTGTTTTAGGCCTTTGGATGTATTGGTGAGTAGAATATTCTAAGATCCCTATCCTAATGTGCCTTACATTTGAGCAGCTGGAGTGCAGCAGTAAACACTAAACATGATAACTGGGGCAATGAGCTAGGCCTTAGTAAGTTTTATGGGAAAATGTCAAACCATGTATAAGTGTTGCAGCTTTGGCAGGCAGGGGATGGTCCGAAGATTGGCCTCATCCCTGCCACACAACAAACAGCTCTGGAAGCCTAGCCCTCTAGAAATAATAAGAACATGTGAGGCAATGGAATTCCTGGGTGACCCAGATTTGTGACTCTAGCATGCTATGTTCCCAGAGGGAAAGCAAACCCATTTCATCAGCTCAGCTGCCCACTCATTATGTTCCCTACAGCCACATAAACAGGGATTTGATTTAAAAACCACCACCAACAACAACAAAAACACCTCCAACTAACAAGTTCAGCTTCTAAAAATTCTCCTTGTGTGGTCCTACTTCTTCCCATGGAAGTTGTGGCCTCTGACAGAGGAAAGAAGGAAAGGAGTAAAGGCTAGGTGGTGGGAAAGACCACACTGTGCTATTGTCAGAAGGTTATCCAAGGTGCTGATGAGCAGTTTGTACTTGTATTTGCAGACTTACCTGTGATGTAACTCCCAGGTCCCGGGGTTTCTCCAGAGGCTATACCAGTAGTACCTACAAGAAGGGGTCAATGGTTCTTAACTCAATTGTGTGTGTACTACATGATTTAAATAGGAATCGAAAGTCCCCATGTAGCAGCAAACTATATATCTGTGAGCTTTAGTGCCAAGAAGGCATCCATATGTCTCCCATGTAACATTTCTTTCTATAACAATTTTACTGAGTCCTCAACTGTCACATCTCTTTATTGGAGGGAAACTGAAAACTCAGTCTCTACTTAACTATTTATCCATCACTTGTTCGACTTCATGATGGTCTAGTAAAAGCCCTTGAGAGCCTGGGAAATAAGGGATCACTATAAAGATTGGCTTGCCTTTGTTCAAATTCAGAAATTACTCAATATAACTTACATAAATAGTATAGATATATTTTCAGCAGATTTCTTAAAGTAGTTATTATGAAATGTAGGTATTCCCCAAGGAAAGTCCTAGCAGTAAACAATAAACAATGTAAGGACTGGCTTATCTTTTTGTCTGAAATTGCTTGACATAACATATATCAATAGTGTAGATATATTTTCAGGAGACTATTCTAAGATGTTCTTATGAAATGCAGGTATTAGCTTAGAGAACTCACCTGTCTCTACTCCAACTGTAGTTGTTTCACTTTCCCCAAGGGAAGTTGTGGCCTCTGAGGGAGAGAATGAGGAAAGAAGTGATTAAAGAATATTTCAGGATCATGGAGAAGATACGACAGCACCCCTTCCAATGAATAGTCTCAGAGGGGAAATCTAATTTGTGGGAAGAGGTGGGGAAGATTCTATTTCAAATTGTAGACTCACCTGTTTTGGAACTGCCTGGGGCAACAGTTGTGCCAGGAGTTACCCCAGTGGTGCCTAAAACACAAAACCAACTCAACTGTAGTCACCATGTTTTATTTTTTTAAAAACATGCACCTAAAAAGAACCTAACTATATTTTCATTTTGTCTAACTGGCTCACTGTCTACCTCTTCTTTGACAGTGAGCTGTATGTATTTTCCCAAGACTTTCAGAGGAACAATGTTCTCAACCTGAGGCAACCTCCTGGCAACATTCTATTTTGGTAAACTGGTTGGGTTTCTCCCACACTCACCTGTTTTCTTCCCAGTGACTTCACTTTCTGATGATACAGTGGTACCTGCTGGGGGATGGAAACGGAAGAAGATATGAATGTTCTGAAAATTACAGCTACTGAGAAAATATTGTGCTGTTCATTGTTTTTTTGTGTGAAAGGCCAACATCTATATGGGGCAGACATGTTTCCTGGGTTTATGCAGCTCTTCTTTACTTCTCAGGAATAGAAAATTTTCTTACTTTTCTCTTCAAGTCTTATAACATCAGTAAATTACTGAGAACTACTTGGACAATCATGCCATGTTCAAGAATTGCAGCTATAACTATGAACTAAGTTATTAGCAGCATTGCAGGACAAAATTTTAAAACTTAAAAAAGATCAGTTGGCCCAAAATACAGTATTAATAAAGGAAATATGAACAGCTCTCCAGAAAGTCTTTCTCTCTCTTGGCCCTCCCAGGAGCATCATAATTAGTGGTTAGCAGAAGGCATGTGATGCTTCCTCTCACCTGCTCTGAATCCATCTCCAGTGGTGCCCGCACCTCCTCTGGTAGTCGTGGCCTCTGAGGGAGAAAATAGACAAGAATGTTCTGGGTGTTTGGGATGTTGGGAAGAAGTATTTTGTATTATATTATCACAGCAAGCCGGTAAACTGCTTAATTCCCATCGTGTTCATAGAGATGGTTTTCTAATATTTCAACTCCACCTGTGTTGGAAATAGCTGTTTTAAGATCTCTCTTAGCTCACTGCATGGCACACTGAGTGATGCATGTCCCATGGTCCCCACGCAACAAAGGCAGAATTCAGTGGATCAGAGGGAACCAGTGTGGAAACCAAACACCTCATCGCATAAGGACCAAAAGGGGGTTTTATATCCATGAAGACAAAAATACCCATCTTCATGGAGCTTGTATCTGAATGTAAATGCTAAAGGGCTGCAAAAGGGGATAATTTTTAGAAAAGTGAAATGTTATACAGAACCACCTTCTTTTTTTGCTTATCTTTTAAAACTTAAATATTAAAAGAGACACCAGGAAGCCATAAAAGCTAAAAATTTTCATGAAAATTGCAGGTGACAATGCTAATATACTGAGAAGTATGGTACCTTCTTTTTGAATGAGGAGGATATTTCTAGAGTTATCTTTATTTACTTGATTTTGTATGTTTACACACAACCAATTTAAATTTTAACTATTATGTAAGAAACTCAATACACCTTTGTTATGATTTAAGAAGGCATAAGAACAGGAAAAGCAAAAGCTCTATGCTACCAAACTCTAATTTGAAGTTTATGTTTTATTAATCTGATAGATTGACTTCTATCTTATTTTCTATTCTAGTTACTGTAACACAATTTCAGATATATATATATATATATAAGTTATAGTTATAGTTATAGTTATAGTTATAGTTATAGTTATAATTTTCTTACCTGTTACTTTAGCCTGTCCTGGTGGCACTAAAAATTAAAAACACAATATATATGTATATAAATGTACATTTTTATTTATCTCAATGCATAAAGATTAATTTATATTAAATTATAGTTTAGAAAAACTATCACAGCCCCTCAGTGACTTTTCAGTGCTCAAATGGAAAAGATAGAAATATTTCAAACTACATTGTGCAGAAGCAGTTCTTTGTCATTTAATTTCAACTTACCTTCAATGAGTTCTGGTAGAACTTTGTCCTCTGGACCTAAAAAAGGAAAGATTAAATTCAATTTAAAAATATCCTTATTGAATTGCATTTTAAAAATTCACTTCAGTGCTTCAATAGCCGTTATATATAATTTTTAATTTAAAAAAACAGGAGTGTTATTTCCATAGGCGTTTACTTAAAAATTCAAGTCAGGATGAGGGATCTCTGGGGGGAAAAAACTGTAAAGTGTTCTTGTAAAAAATCATTCATAAGTTACAAATTATCAAACTGAAAACAGAACAACTGTCTTTTTCCCAAGTAAAATATTTACAAACAGTACCTCTTGTCTGGTTCCATTTAATTTAAAACTAAAGTCTTGAACTTGGGAAATGCAAAAAGAAATAGTAATAAAAAGATAAAATACATACTGTGCCCTAATAGTTACATATCCTAGTAGCCATGGTACTAATTTATAATATACTCTTGGTGCTCAATAAATAATATAATCATGTGAATTCATTTACATTTATATAACTATTGAATGAGTAAAGAATAATTATGAATTTAGTCTGAATCAAATTTTTGAATAAATTATTTCCTGGTGGTTAGTTTATAAAATAAATTTACACCAGTGGCATTTTTAAAAGTATTTAGAATAGATGTTGCATAAATCTTTACCAGAAAAAAATTATTAGCAATCTATTCCTTAAATAATAGACAATTTAGTCACTAAATCTTAGGTTCTATTAGATAACTTACAAAGTGAGACATGTCTTTCTCAAGTACTACAATACATTACTAGTCCAGAAACTTAAATAATAATGTACTCTAGCCTTGAATAAATAATTTAGTCCATGTACTGTTATGAAAAAATTGTCCTATAAGTATTTGTAAATTTTATGTCAGGTTGGAATAACTGAAAAAAGAAAGGAAGTGATGAACTTTTCACTTATAAAAGAATAGAATTATAGTTTTGTCAAGTAAAATGACTCAAATCTTGCTGTTTTTGGAACAAATGCCACAATTTTTCTTGTATAAAAAATTGTAAACCTTTTTAAATACTTGTTGCTGCAGTTATTATAGTTAGAAAGGGGGAAAATTTAAGTTTTGTACATATAAGAAACAAGCTTTTCTTAATGGGTCATTAAAGATCATTGTATATTTGTCTTAGAAGATGACATGTGGTGAAGATCAGTCTCTGGAGTCAGGAAGCAATGGATAAAAACATGGGCTCCACTCTGATTGGCTGAGGAACCTGGACCAACCTAGGTAATGGCTTTTTTTTTAAGTTCCTCATGAGTAAAATGACATAACTGTCCTTATTCAAATAGTTAAGCAAAATAATATATTTAAAGAGATTTTAATTATGTAACAGGTATTTTTATTAATTATTTTATCATTTGAAACTAGCCAAAGAACATAAAACAAAAAGCATACACCCAGCATTCTCTATTTACTTACCTACAGTGGAACTTTCTGATGGAATTGTTGAGATAGAAGTGCTTCTTATGGAACCTGAGACTAAAAATGGAAAATCACAAGCAGTGTTTTTATTTTAGGGGGATATAACCTGGACATTGTCACAGTAACTACTTTGAGCTCAAGTGTTGTAGTTCCAGTACTGGTGAGAAAGCACCTACCCTATATAATAAAAGGGTAATATGCAAATAGACCAAACGGCAGAACAACCAAACCAATCAAAGTGTAATATGCTAATGATTCCTAAGGCTGCTCAACCGCTCACTATGATGTGCACTGACCACCAGGGGGCAGACGGTCGACTGGTCACTATGACCTGCTCTGTCTACCAGGGGGCATATGCTCCGACCAGTAGGTTAGCTTGCTACTGGGACCCAGCCTATCGGGACTGAGAGAGATGGGCTGGACATGCCCTGCAGCCCTCCCATGGTCCTTCCCCAGCCCAATCACGCACTGGTGGGGTCCTTCAGCCTGGCCTGCACCCTCTAGAAATCTGGGACTCCTTGGGTGATATCAGAGAGCTGGTTTCAGCCTGATCCCGCAGGCCACTCCCCTTGGGAGGGCACCAGATGCAGGGCTCATGGTTGGCAAGCGCTGCTGCAGCAGTGCAACCCTCTTCTGATCTGGACCGATTGGGCGCAAGCCCGCGGCAGGCACAGTGGGGCCAGGATGAGTGGGAGTGGCAGGTAGGAGATGCAGGCAGCGTTGGACTGCAGGTTTCAGGCGAATCCTTTAAGGCCATCCAGAGGGACCCCACTCATGCACAAATTCATACACCAGGCCTCTAGTTAAAATATAAGGTTCTAAATACTGGATAACTCGGATCTGATTTTCTAATTTTTATATTTACAATACACTGATATTCATGATCACATGTGTCAGAAAACCTCATGTTGAGCCACAACCTGAGCCAACAGCATCCCTTCCCACTCTTCTGATTTACCAGGTGTGGTTAATCTGGTTGTGCTTTCGCCTGCTTCAGTGGTTTCTCCATATGATTCTTCAGTTGTGCCTGGGTAAAGGGGCAATTGATTATTATCTTTACATGATTCATTTTAGTAAAAATAATAAACTTACATTCATTTAACTAAATTTCAATTTTAAATGTTAATAGTAAAGCTAGAATATAATTTAATTTTATTCCCAAAATTCAGGCTTTAGTAATTAACTTAAGCTCATCATCACAATTTGGGTGTCAGGCAATTTGTGCTGGATCACCCAGGTGAGCCTTGCCTGCTTGGTTCCCAGCAGAGGTGGCCCCAGAGGCTCCTGCTCCAGCTGTGCTTCCTCTGCTTGGCTGGGTGGTAGCTCCTACTGACTCTCTGAATGCACCTGGTCAATAAAAAAGTAGTGGGGATGGAAATATCAAATTATTAAGAAGTGTGAAATATCAATTTAAAACAATAATGTTCTACAAATTGACTATATTATTCAAAAATTGAAGTTGTAAATAGTCTAATTCTGATAAAATTTATAGATATCGTTCCAAATTATGGGACCAAAACTCATATTACCCAAAATCTTGGGTCTATTTTTGACTAAATTGATTTACCTCCAGATGTGGTAATATCACTTCCTGGCATCATCGTTGTTCTTCCCACTTCAGTTGATGATCCAGTTGTCGATGTTTCTCCAGATAACAGTCCAGTTGTCCCAGATCTTTCTGCTGATGTCTCTGATCCAGTTGATGATCCAGAACTTCCTTGAGTAGATCTAGTGGTACCAGCTACAGTAGTCCCTGATCCTTCAGCTGATGGTCTGGTTGTTGTAGTTTTATCAGATGATGATTCAGTTGTGCCTGAACCTTTAGCTGATGATACGGTTGTCCCAGATTCTGATCTTACAGTTGTCCCTGAACCTGCGGGTGTTACACCAGTGGATCCTGGTATTTCAGCTGCTGGACCAGTTGTTCCTGTCCCTTCTGCTGGGGTTCTGGTTGTCCCAGTTCCATCAGATGGTGATTCAGTTGTTCTAGAACCTTTCACAGGTGATTCAGTTCCAGATTCTGATGTTCCTGTTGTCCCTGATCCTCCAGGTGTTACACCAGGGGATCCTGGCATTTCAGCTGCTGGACCAGTTGTTCCTGTCCCTTCTGCTGGGGTTCTGGTTGTACCAGCTCCTTTAGATGGTGATTCTGTTGTCCCAGAACCCTGAGCAGGTGATGCAGTTGTCCCTGATTCCCCAGGTGCCACACCAGTGGTTCCTGACATTCCACCTGTTGGGCCAGTTGTCCCTGTCCCTCCAGTGGATGACCTGGTTGTCCCTGGTCCTTCAGATGATGATTCACTTGTTCCTGAACCTCGGAAAGATGTCCCAGTTGTCCCTGATCCTCCAGGTGTTACACCAGTAGTTCCTGACATGTGACCCATTGAGACCGTTGTTCCTTTCCCTTCTGCTGGAGTTCTGGTTGTCCCAGTTCCTTCAGATGGTGATTCAGTTGTTCCAGAACCCTTAACAGATGATCCAGTTGTCCCTGATTCCATGGGTGCCACAACAGTGGTTCCTGACATTTCACCTGTTGGACTAGTGGTTCCTGTCTCTCCAGTGGATGATCCTGTTGTCCCTTGTCTTTCAGAGGAGGATTCAGTTGTGCCTGAACCTTTAGCTGAAGATCCAGTTGTCCCAGATTCTGATCTTCCAGTTGTGCCTGAATGAGCAGGTGTTACACCAGCGGATCCTGACATGCCACCTGTTGAGACAGTTGTTCCTGTCCCTTTAGCTGATGGTCTGGTTGTTGTAGTTTTTTGAGATGATGATTCACTTGTTCCTGAACCTGTAGCAGATGATCCAGTTGCTCCAGATTCAGATCTTACAGTTGTCCCTGAACCTCTGGGTGTTACACCAGTGGGTCCTGGCATTTCAGCTGTTGGGCCAGTTGTTCCTTTCCCTTCCGCTGGGGTTCTAGTTGTCCCAGTTCCTTTAGATGGTGATTCTGTTGTCCCAGAACCCTGAGCAGGTGATCCAGTTGTTGCTAATTCCCCAGGTGCCACACCAGTGGTTCCTGACATTCCACCTGTTGGGCCAGTTGTCCCTGTCCCTCCAGCGGATGACCTGGTTGTCCCTGGTCTTTCAGATGATGATTCACTTGTTCCTGAACCTCGGAAAGATGTTCCAGTTGTCCCTGATCCTTCAGGTGTTACACCAGTAGTTCCTGACATGGGAATCATTGAGACTATTTCTCCTTTCCCTTCTGCTGGGGTTCTGTTTGTACCAGTTTCTTTAGATGGTGACTCTGTTGTGCCAGAACCCTGAGCAGATGATCCAGTTGTTGCTAATTCCCCAGGTGCCACACCAGTGGTTCCTGACATTCCACCTGTTGGGCCAGTTGTCCCTGTCCCTCCAGCGGATGACCTGGTTGTCCCTGGTCCTTCAGATGATGATTCACTTGTTCCTGAACCTCGGAAAGATGTCCCAGTTGTCCCTGATCCTCCAGGTGTTACCCCAGTAGTTCCTGACATGTGACCCATTGAGACCGTTGTTCCTTTCCCTTCTGCTGGGGTGCTGGCTGTCCCAGTTCCTTTAGAAGGTGATTCAGTTGTTCCAGATTCTGATGTTCCTGTTTTCCCTGACTCTCCAGGTGTTATACCAGGGGATCCTGGCATTTCAGCTGCTGGACCAGTTGTTCCTTTACCTTCTGCTGGGGTTCTGGTTGTCCCAGTTCCTTTAGATGGTGATTCTGTTGTCCCAGAACCCTGAGCAGGTGATGCAGTTGTCCCTGATTCCCCAGGCGCCACACCAGTGGTTTCTGACATTCCACCTGCTGGGCCAGTTGTCCCTGTCCCTCCAGCGGATGACCTGGTTGTCCCTGGCCCTTCAGATGATGATTCACTTGTTCCTGAACCTCGGAAAGATGTCCCAGTTGTCCCTGATCCTTCAGCTGTTACACCAGTAGTTTCTGTCATGTGACCCATTGAGACCGTTGTTCCTTTCCCTTCTGCTGGGGTTCTGGTTGTCCCAGTACCTTTAGAAGGTGATTCAGTTGTTCTAGAACCTTTAACAGGTGATTCACTTGTTCCAGATTCTGATGTTCCTGTTGTCCCTGATGCTCCAGGTGTTACACCAGTGGATCCTGGCATTTCAGCAGTTGGACCAGTTGTTCCTTTTTCTTCTGCTGGGGTTCTGGTTGTCCCAGTTCCTTTAGATGGTGATTCTGTTGTCCTAGAACCCTGAGCAGGTGATTTAGTTGTTCCAGATTCTGATGTTCCTGTTGTCCCTGATCCTCCAGGTGTTACACTAGCGGATCCTGGCATTTCAGCTGCTGGACCAGTTGTTACTTTCCCTTCTGCTGGTGTTCGGGTTGTCCCAGTTCCTTTAGAAGGTGATTCAGTTGTGCTAGAACCTTTAACAGGTGATTCAGGTGTTCCAGATTCTGCTGTTCCTGTTGTCCCTGATTCTCCAGGTGTTACACCAGGGGATCCTGGCATTTCAGCTGCTGGACCAGTTGTTCCTGTACCTTCTGCTGGGGTTCTGGTTGTACCAGTTCCTTTAGATGGTGATTCTGTTGTCCCAGAACCCTGAGCAGATAATCCAGTTGTTGCTAATTCCCCAGGTGCCACACCAGTGGTTCCTGACATTCCACCTGTTGGGCCAGTTGTCCCCGTCCCTCCAGCAGATGACATGGTTGTCCCTGGTCCTTCAGATGATGATTCACTTGTTCCTGAACCTCGGAAAGATGTCCCAGCTGTCCCTGATCCTCCAGGTGTTACACCAGTAGTTCCTGACATGTGACCCATTGAGACCGTTGTTCCTTTCCCTTCTGCTGGGGTTCTGGTTGTCCCAGTTCCTTTAGATGGTGATTCTGTTGTCCCAGAACCTTGAGAAGGTGATCCAGTTGTTCCAGATTCTGATGTTCCTGTTGTCCCCGATCCTCCAGGTGTTACACTAGTGGATCCTGGCATTTCAGCTGCTGGACCAGTTGTTCCTTTACCTTCTGCTGGGGTTCTGGTTGTCCCAGTTCCTTTAGATGGTGATTCTGTTGTCCCAGAACCTTGAGCAGGTGATGCAGTTGTCCCTGATTCCCCAGGTGCCACACCAGTGGTTCCTGACATTCCACCTGTTGGGCCAGTTGTCCCCGTCCCTACAGCAGATGACATGGTTGTCCCTGGTCCTTCAGATGATGATTCACTTGTTCCTGAACCTCGGAAAGATGTCCCAGTTGTCCCTGATCCTCCAGGTGTTACACCAGTAGTTCCTGACATGTGACCCATTGAGACCGTTGTTCCTTTCCCTTCTGCTGGGGTTCTGGTTGTCCCAGTTCCTTTAGATGGTGATTCTGTTGTCCCAGAACCTTGAGAAGGTGATCCAGTTGTTCCAGATTCTGATGTTCCTGTTGTCCCCGATCCTCCAGGTGTTACACTAGTGGATCCTGGCATTTCAGCTGCTGGACCAGTTGTTCCTTTACCTTCTGCTGGGGTTCTGGTTGTCCCAGCTCCTTTAGATGGTGATTCTGTTGTCCCAGAACCCTGAGCAGGTGATGCAGTTGTCCCTGATTCCCCAGGTGCCACACCAGTGTTTCCTGACATTCCACCTGTTGGGCCAGTTGTCCCTGTCCCACCAGCGGATGACCTGGTTGTCCCTGGTCCTTCAGATGATGATTCACTTGTTTCTGAACCTCGGAAAGATGTTCCAGTTGTCCCTGATCCTTCAGGTGTTACACCAGTAGTTCCTGACATGTGACCCATTGAGACCGTTGTTCCTTTCCCTTCTGCGGGGGTTCTGGTTGTCCCAGTTCCTTTAGATGGTGATTCAGTTGTTCTAGAACCTTTAACAGGTGATTCATTTGTTCCAGATTCTGATGTTCCTGTTGTCCCTGATCCCCCAGCTGTTACACCAGTAGTTCCTGACATGTGACCCATTGAGACCGTTGTTCCTTTCCCTTCTGCTGGGGTTCTGGTTGTCCCAGTTCCTTTAGAAGGTGATTCAGTTGTTCTAGAACCTTTAACAGGTGATTCAATTGTTCCAGATTCTGATGTTCCTGTTGTCCCTGATGCTCCAGGTGTTACACCAGTGGATCCTGGCATTTCAGCTGTTGGACCAGTTGTTCCTTTTTCTTCTGCTGGAGTTCTGGTTGTCCCAGTTCCTTTAGATGGTGATTCTGTTGTCCCAGAACCCTGAGAAGATGATCCAGTTGTTGCTAATTCCCCAGGTGCCACACCAGTGGTTCCTGACATTCCACCTGTTGGGCCAGTTGTCCCTGTCCCTCCAGCGGATGACCTGGTTGTCCCTGGTCCTTCAGATGATGATTCACTTGTTCCTGAACCTCGGAAAGATGTCCCAGTTGTCCCTGATCCTCCAGGTGTTACACCAGTAGTTCCTGACATGTGACCCATTGAGACCGTTGTTCCTTTCCCTTCTGCTTGGGTGCTGGTTGTTTCAGTTCCTTTAGATGGTGATTTAGTTGTTCTAGAACCTTTTACAGGTGATTCAGTTGTTCCAGATTCTGATGTTCCTGTTGTCCCTGATGCTCCAGGTATTACACCAGTGGATCCTGGCATTTCAGCTGTTGGACCAGTTGTTCCTTTTTCTTCTGCTGGGGTTCTGGTTGTCCCAGTTCCTTTAGATGGTGATTCTGTTGTCCCAGAACCCTGAGAAGGTGATCCTGTTGTTCCAGATTCTGATGTTCCTGTTGTCCCTGATCCTCCAGGTGTTACACCAGTGTATCCTGGCATTTCAGCTGTTGGACCAGTTGTTCCTTTTTCTTCTGCTGGGGTTCTGGTTGTCCCAGTTCCTTTAGATGGTGATTCTGTTGTCCCAGAACCCTGAGCAGGTGATGCAGTTGTCCCTGATTCCCCAGGTGCCACACCAGTGGTTCCTGACATTCCACCTGTTGGGCCAGTTGTCCCCGTCCCTCCAGCGGATGACCTGGTTGTCCCTGGTCCTTCAGATGATGATTCACTTGTTCCTGAACCTCGGAAAGATGTCCCAGTTGTCCCTGATCCTCCAGGTGTTACACCAGTAGTTCCTGACATGTGACCCATTGAGACCGTCGTTCCTTTCCCTTCTGCTTGGGTGCTGGTTGTTTCAGTTCCTTTAGATGGTGATTTAGTGGTTCTAGAACCTTTTACAGGTGATTCAGTTGTTCCAGATTCTGATGTTCCTGTTGTCCCTGATGCTCCAGGTATTACACCAGTGGATCCTGGCATTTCAGCTGTTGGACCAGTTGTTCCTTTTTCTTCTGCTGGGGTTCTGGTTGTCCCAGTTCCTTTAGATGGTGATTCTGTTGTCCCAGAACCCTGAGCAGGTGATCCAGTTGTCCCTGATTCCCCAGGTGCCACACCAGTGGTTCCTGACCATCCACCTGTTGGGCCAGTGGTTCCTGTCTCTCCCTCAGATGGCCTACTTGTTGCAGGGCCTTCAGATGATGATTTAGGTGTTTGAGACCCTTTAGCAGATGTTTCAGTCGTTTCAGATTCTGATGTTCCTGTTGTCCCTGATCCTCCAGGTGTTACACCAGTGGATCCTGGCATATCAGCTGTTGGACCAGTTGTTCCTTTTTCTTCTGCTGGGGTTCTGGTTGTCCCAGTTCCTTTAAATGGTGATTCAGTTGTTCTAGAACCTTTAGCAGATGATTCAGTTGTTCCCGATGCTGATCTTCCACTTGTTCCTAATCCCTCAGGTGTTACACCAGTGATTCCTGACATTCCACCAGTTGTCTCTGACTCTACAGCTGATGGTCTTGTTGTCCCTACTCTTTCAGACATTAATTGAGTTGTTTCTGAACCTGTAGCAGACGTTACAGTTGTTCCTGTTTCTCCAGTTGATAATTCTGTGGTCCCTGATCCTCCAGCTTCTGATCTAGTTGTTTGTAATCCTCCAGTTGGTGTTTTGGGGGATGAACCAGTTGTCCCTAGTATTCCAGTTGCTGCCTCTGTTGTCTTTAATCCTTCAGATGAAGGTCCTGTTGACTGTGAACCTACATCATATGATCTAGTTGTTTCTGTTTTTCTAGTGTTGCCTGATTCTCCAGCTGATGTGATGGTTGTTCCTGTCACTTCAGATGATGGTACTATTGTGGTTCCAGATCCTTCAGCGGATTGTCCAGTTGTTCCTATGAAAACATTTAACAAAAGAACATTGTTTTAAAGTTGTTCTGGTCCTTGATTAACCTTAGGGCTTATGCTGCCTTCTTTCTAAACTATAGTTTTGTGCATCTTCATTCCTGTTGCCACCATCCTATTTTATTATACCTTTTATTTTTCTACAGTGTACCTTCTTCCTAACTCTTTACTCATTTAACATTATTGAATATTTTATATGCCACGTATGTTCTCAGAAATTTATAAGTATTACCTCATTTTAGCATCAGAACAATCCTATGATATGTATAGTATTACTTTCCATTTTTATAGAGAAAAAACTTAAAATAGTTTAAGTCATTTCTCTAAGATTTACCTAGTAAGTAGATAGTTCTCTAATCCCATAGATAATCCTAGTAGATGTGAGAGACATGTAGACATAAAAGTGTAATTACTATCCAACCAAATGAAGAAATTTACAAACAAAGAAAGCCTCAAAGCACTAACATAAAGAGAGGAAATTCTGTGCAATTGGGGTTTCATTTTGGACAGCCTGGCTAGCAAAGTCTCTCTGAAAAGATGCCATTTATTTTGAGATACGACAAGAAGCAGACAGTCATGGGAAATATCATAGGCAGTGGAAACAGCCACTGCAAAGGCCATAAGGATAACTGAATTACATGTGCTAGAGAAGCAGAACTAGATGGTGAATTTATAGGTATTAATAGGAGGTTAGTGGGAAATCATTAGAAGGTGAAGATATATTCATTGGATTGGGTAAGCTATTTGAAATGAGAGAAAAGTTGTACATTTTTCTAAATGCAATAGAGTATAGTTTTATGCAAGGGAGCTATACATTTATATATATTTAAAATCCTTCTTTCCACTCTGTAGAGAATATATAGTAAAGGTTGCATTATAGAAGTAGAAAAACCAGTAAGAGGTGATTTCAGGCTTGGACTTTGTGCTCAGTGGTTTTTTCCTTCAACCTATGAACCAGGAAGTCATGGTTCAATTTCCAGTCAGGGCACATGCCTGGGTTGCAGGCTTTATCCCCATTGGTGAGCATGCAGGAGGCAGCTAATAAATGATTATCTCTCATCATTGATGTCTCTCTCTCCCTCTCCCTTCATCTCTGAAATGGAAATATATTTTACAAAATAAAATAATAATAATAATAATAATAATAATAATAATAATAAATTTTAAAAAGAAGTGATTTCAGGAACCCGAATGATATATGAGTATCCTGGCCTAGAGTAGAAATGAAGGAGATTGAGAAAAGTGAATGGGTTCAGGATATGTTTTTGAAATAGCTTTAAGAGGGCTTGTCTGTATGTAGGAAGTGCATACAGACCTCAAAGAAGAGAGACCTCAAAGATAACTCTAATTTTTTCCTGAGTCAACTGAGTCAGTTATGGTACCATTTATTGATATAGAGAGGATTGGGAGAACAGTTATGGGTATGAAAGTAAACCAAGAATTCTGTTTAGTTAATCAATAAAGAAAATATATATATTCCATAATAAAAAATAAAATAAATAAAATTAAATTTTAAAAAAAGAATATATATTTGCATTAGCTTGTATTTGTATTAGAAAACACTGAAAGCATACTAATAAAAAAGGGTTACCAATAAGGAAAGGGGTAGGATGGCAGCAAGACTTCTGGGTTTACCTTTATAAACTTTTGATTTTTGGACTGTACAAATATATTTCTTATTCAAAAGTTACATTAAAAATAATATTATTAAATTATGATGTTTCTGCATGATAGTCTACTAGATAGTAAATAAAATTGATGCTGCTGGTATTTAAATACATAGATAAAAATGTTCAAAATATATAACAAATTAAAAAAGCAGATTATAAGAATGTAATGTATGATACTTTAATTTGAAGAATTATATTTACATCTTTGGTGTGGAATGTTATTTGTTAAATTTTCTTCAGAAATTGGAATAGCTTTTCATCACAATTCTAAATCACTTTTTTTGTTCAATTAAAAACTTATAGAAAATATGTTAATATTTTATACCATGATATTTTTGAATACTAAGGAACCACAAAAATTTTCTAAATACTCAAGACAGTAGTTTTTGTAAAAAGAAAATTTCTAACTTGAAATTTGAAATCCTTGTTGATAAACTTTTAGTAACCAGAGGCCTATTATTCAAGAAACGAAATAATTTATTGAACTCTTAAATATTTCTAGTATTGAAAAATTATATTGTCAATCAATGAAATGCAAAAATGGCTGACATATCTTATAATTATTCAGCACTTTTAACCATTATGCATTTTTGTTTGTTGCCTCAGTGGGTTTTTTTGTAGAACAATGCAGACCTTAGATAAAGAAATGTAACTAAGTGGATGACAAAGTATGTAACTCAAAAGAAGCCTAACTCCAAATCTTCATTTAAGGACCAAACATAAGATGAAATGTTAGATTGTCACTATTACTTTTTACTTAACTCCACTATGGTTGTATCAAAAAATATGCAAGTGATTTCTAAATTGGAATATCAATTTTAAAATGCTGTATTAAGCTTGTTTAGTAATGGAGGATATCTGAACTGTCACATCAATGTCATTATCTGTGACATCATTGGTCACACTAACTGACATCCCAATAGCGCATAAATACTGAATAGCAGACAAATAATGTAATGGCAATCTTCCCAATTGATTCACATATTTGAATTTCAGAGTTCTGATTTTGAAACAGGGAAGATCCTCTTATAAACAAGTGTCTACACCAATAAGATTTTGTGAATTTTTGTTGTATTTAGTTATCTCACCTAGCTTATCTGATGAACTTGTAGTCCCACTACTGGGTGACTCAGGTGTACTTTTACCTCCAATAGTTGTGCCACCTGATGTCCCAGGTGTACCTGTTGTAAAGGAAAAAATGGAAAGAGTTCATTCATAGAATTTCATAAACTGTGAGGTAACCAATTCTGGTTTCAATTGACTTCCAAATAACGATTACAGAAATGTCCATTTTCTATATTAATAATAATTATTACTCCATACATTCCAAAAAATGTGCTTTGACATACATTTATTCATTATTTCATGGGACCCTCACTTACTAGATTACATTGCCCAGGTTTGCAGACAAGAAAACTGAGGTTACAGTATAATATCGATTCTAAGAGCAATTTTTACCTATGGGCACTATTTTAGCAGGTTACTTATTTTGAAGCATTTTTTTCTCATCAGAAATGGTTATCAAATGCTTATCAAGTGCCTTTTCAGCCTCTATAGTTGTTTTTATTCTTAGATATGTTAGTATGATGAACTATGTTCATGGATTTCCTGATTTTGAAAAAAATTCACTAAAAAGAAGTAGAAATTATTATTGAAATTATTTTAATGTGATTTTGGATTCTAAATTCAAGCATTTGTTTTTTGCTATGCAAACTCTTAAGTTGAATTTTTTCTTTTTGTTTTCTTTCTCTTTTGATAGTTGGGAACAGCTGAAAAGTCAGGTCCAGACTTGTCTGACCTCCCAGGACTTTGGGTCCAGCGCCTGGTTCCCCAGGGGTTGCCCCATGGGATAGCTGAGCATAGCTTCATTTTATAATAGAAACAAAAAGTTAGCTCATTAAAATATGAAATTGATCATTTTCTGAGGCTGGCTTGTGAGAGGAAAAATAATTTAAAATAAGAATGAAGCTTAATTCTCTCAGAAATAAGGGACTTCCCCCTTCCTTTTCTTAGAACATTGACTTTAGAAATTTTGTATTTTTAAGTTCTTTCTCTGTGTCTTGGAAATTTATTGAAATCTTTTTTTAAAAAAAAAAAAACTGATAGGCCTCTTGCCATCATAATACCCAAGGAGTGTCTTTCTCAGGAACTCTGGCACTGTCTCTTTGAGATGTAAACATTAGGGAGATGTTTCCCTTGTTTTCCTCTGGTTATAAAACTTCCTCCTGTCATCAAGATAGGAGGTTTATTTTCCCTTTGTAGGAAACCAATGAACTAACCAGATGGCACCCAATTACCCGATGAGTTTAGGATGAACTATGTGCAATAAATAGTGCTATCAGGTTTTGTTGCTTGAAGACCAATATAATTTTTCTTGAGAACTTGAAGGTAATGGGTTGTGTCTGCTTGGTGAGAGGTCTGTCTTTACAATTGCTTAGCAAATGGCCAGTAATTTGCATCACTTTCTAATTTAATCCATATTAAATAATAAAAATGTTTGCTTTGTGGCAGGGTCTCTGGGTTGGGAGAATTTGTTTTCATTTCTAGTCCCCCAATACTAGAAATATGACTGCTCCTTATTCCCCTGGAATTGAATATATACCTACACTTTTGCTCAACATACTTATGTTTTGAGTTTTGCTCAAGTTAAAGCATGTCGATATACTCAAACTGCACTGAGCATAATATCATATTCTTTCAAAAGAGAGTAAATCCCAAACGAATCCCTTCTCTTGCTAGAATATCCTCTTGAATTCCCACTCCAACACTTGTCCTTGAACATTTCCTTAACTTTGATTACCTTCTGCCTTGCATGGCCTTTGCCTTTGCATTGATATAAATGCTCATTTCTCTTGCTCGAAAATTAAGCTCTAAGAGAACAAGTACCTGACTCTACTCTGCCCCTATGTTCTCTAGAGTATGATGCGACACATCATAAATAGCTATTAATTTATCTCTGATCTTCTTCAGTTTTCACATTACACAAATAATGAGTTAAATTTCCCCAGGAAACCTTATCTCTGACAAAATTTTGAGTAAAGACATCACATTTCTGTTGTCTAGATTTATTCTGACTATGTTCTTTCAGTACCTGATGCTCCAGAAGTCTTTTCACCAGCAGCTCCAGTGGTGGCTGCATTTTCCCCTCCAGTGGTTCCTGTTTAAACAGAACGGTGGTGATCAGGCCACAAGGGGGTCGCCAGAGTTAGCAAAGAAAAATACAGGACCCCCAGTGACATTTGAATTCCAGATAAGCAACAAACAACCATGTCCCAATTATTGCATAGAACATATTTATACTAAAAAATTATTTCTTACTTATGAGTAATTAAAAATGTAAATGGCATTCTGTATTTTTTATTTGGCAATTCTAGTCTACATAGATGGTTGTGTTGAAAATGCTCCCACTACCTATGTTTACTTGTCCTAAAATGATAGCCATAGCCTTTACTAAATGCACTTACAGTCCTCATAAGAATGTAGGGTCTCCGCTAAACTCATGATGGAGCACCACCAAAGTGAGACTGCACTTTGCCTGCTGAGATCCCTGTTGGGCTGGAAGCAGTGGTCTAGCTACTGCCAGTTCCAACAGTAATTCCCAGATTCTGCTGTTACCCCTGACAAACACAGTAGGGGGAGAGCATGTGCCTTATTGTGACAACCCAGTACTGTGCCACTTTTGAAGGAAAGATTTGGAGAAGCCAGAAAAGTGAAAAATCTTGAAAATGTTAATCATTTTGCCCTAGCTGGTTTAGCTCAGTGGATAGAGTGTTGGCTTGCGGACTGAAAGGTCCTGGGTTTGATTCCAGTCAAGCGCACATGCCCGGGTTGCGGGCTCGATCCCCAGTGGAAGGCATGAAGGAGCCAGCCAATCAATGATCCTCTCTCATCATCGATGTTTCTATCTCTCCCTCTCCCTTCCTCTTTGAAATCAATAAAAATATATGTTTTTAAAAAGAAAATGTTAATCATTTTTATACCCTTTTATTTTTTATTTTTTTGGATGGTAGATGATGGATTTGCGTGAAATCAGCAAGCTCTGATTTAATTTGGTCCTTTTTGACAAAGCCACGGCCTCTGAATGATACCCTCTGCTCACCTGACTTGCCTTCCTCAGAGGGTGTCCCTTCACCGCTTGGAGCTCTAGTCGTTTCCCCAGCTGATGACTCAGTAGTCCCTTTCAAAATAAACAATAAATACATATATACCATTGAGCTATGGTTAAGCAGAACAGATTTTGCTGTTCTCTTCTTTCAAATACTTTGCATATATTTGTTCACACTTAAAGCATTTCAAGCTCACTGTTTCCAAAAATTAATTATAAGAGACACCTGGGTTGCTTCCTACACATACAGAAATACTAGCCTCACTGTTTCTAAAAATTAATTATAAGAATCACCTGGGTTGCTTCCTACACATACAGATATACTAGCCTCACTGTTTCTAAAAATTAATTATAAGAATCACCTGGGTTGCTTCCTACACATACAGAAATACTAGCCTCACTGTTTCTAAAAATTAATTATAAGAATCACCTGGGTTGCTTCCTACACATACAGATATACTAGCCTCACTGTTTCTAAAAATTAATTATAAGAATCACCTGGGTTGCTTCCTACACATACAGATATACTAGCCTCACTGTTTCTAAAAATTAATTATAAGAATCACCTGGGTTGCTTCCTACACATACAGATATACTAGCCTCACTGTTTCTAAAAATTAATTATAAGAATCACCTGGGTTGCTTCCTACACATACAGATATACTAGCCTCACTGTTTCTAAAAATTAATTATAAGAATCACCTGGGTTGCTTCCTACACATACAGATATACTAGCCTCACTGTTTCTAAAAATTAATTATAAGAATCACCTGGGTTGCTTCCTACACATACAGATATACTAGCCTCACTGTTTCTAAAAATTAATTATAAGAATCACCTGGGTTGCTTCCTACACATACAGATATACTAGCCTCACTGTTTCTAAAAATTAATTATAAGAATCACCTGGGTTGCTTCCTACACATACAGAAATACTAGCCTCACTGTTTCTAAAAATTAATTATAAGAATCACCTGGGTTGCTTCCTACACATACAGATATACTAGCCTCACTGTTTCTAAAAATTAATTATAAGAATCACCTGGGTTGCTTCCTACACATACAGATATACTAGCCTAGTGGTTCTCTACCCATTGAAACCAACTATAAGGCTTTTAAACAACATTTGTGCCTGGGCTCTTCCTCCAGGAGTTCTCATTCAATTAGTCGTGAAAAGGCCCTTCATTGTGCATTTTCCAAAATATGCCTCTAGTCAATTCCAATGTGTAGCCAAGATTGCAAACCATGGCCTGAGCCCCACCCAGACTCAGAGCCTCAGACGTTCAAAGGCAGGATCTGCAATATAATACTCTTTGCTCTAAGTCACCTGTGAGCTGATGTTAGTGAAATACAGCCATTCAGCCCATAGATGCAGGGATGGTGACATGATGAACGTGCATATTGACTAACAGCTAATAACCCAGTAGAAGCTGCTGGTGGCTTCCCTGTGGTCAGTAAGAAAATGCTTCCGAGCCCCCATTTCCATACCCGCTCTGCCTCCCGAGGTTGTGCCTGGGGCAGTTGTGTCTCCTCCGCTGGTGCTCTGGCTCCCAGGTGCGGTGGTGAAGCCCTCTGGTCCTTCTGAGGTCCCTGGCATAACAGCAAGGAAGGGGCGTTACTTCTAGAGCGGTAGGATTCTACATGTCACTCTCATGTGACAGAATCGAGGATTCTAATGTAAAAGAAACCTTCAATGACACCCAGAGTTTCTGCAGCTAGAGGATCTAATGTCACACACAGCTTCATCTTTAGTTCGACCTGGAATATGTTCTGGACCATTTTACAGGCGTTAAAGTGCACATCCTGACTTGCCTGCTTTTCCTGTGCTTGTTGCTCCTGTGCTTGGTGCCCCAGGTGTGCTCTTTTCTTCCGTTTCCACTGGTGGTGCAGTTGGGGCCCCTATTCCAGCTGGGAGGGAAAATAGCAGTTTAAAAAAATACCCCAGACATAAATCCATTCATCCAGTCTTATAAGCATCCTCCGAGGCAGGTAATAATATTCCCATTTAACAGACGTGGGTAAGTGACTTTCTCCAGGTTACTAGGTTGATTGGCAGCAGGTCCAGAAGCCAAACCCAGGTAGTCTAGCCCCAGAGTTTACACGCTAACTTTTGCTTCTCAAATGATCTGTGGTAAAAGAGCAATGCTGCAAAAATGTCAATCTGCCCTATATTGGTGTTTTGGGAAATGCCATGAAAGTAGAGAAATATTTTTTAATAAAATCATTTAAAACATAAGCTTTTATTTAGGAGGTATTAAAGGGACTGTGTGAAACTGCTGCTTCTGTTTTTTAAAATATATTTTTATTGATTTCAGAGAGGAAGGGAAGGGTGAGGGAGATAGAAACATCAATGATGAGAATCATTGATTGGCTGCCTCCTGCACGCCCCCTACTGGGTAACTAGCCAGCAACTCCACATGTGCCCTGATCAGGAATTGAATTGAACCATGACCTCCTGGTTCATAGATCGATGCTCAACCACTGATAAAACTGCTGTTTCTAAATGCCTGTTCTCTGTTTCAGTTCTTATCACATCATGACCAGTAATCAACAGTTCTGATGGCACTCATTTGTGGACCAAACTTTCAGCAACTCTGTTTAAAACTACTACCTGGTAACCAAAAAAAAATTCACTGATTGACGTGTCACTATTAGCCAAATAATTCTGATTCAAATTTTAAGGACTGTAGACTAAATAGTCATCACCCTAAAGTTTGAGTCAGTTCATTGATCTAATTGAAAATAACCATTTTCTTACTTTCTGCTGCTGGAGATTCTATCTTTTAACATTATTTTTATGTAAACTATAGCTTATTTCAAAAAAGTATGTGACATAAATTTTAAATCAAGAAATTTGCTAAAGGAAAATAAATGTAGAAAAACAAAAGCAGGCCATAGATTAGTTCTTAAAATCAGACCATGAATTAGATCATAAAGGCATAAAAGGAAGTCCCATGCATACTCTAAAGGCATGGCTTCTAGTGATATGTAAAGGGGTTTTTATTTATCCTAAAGCAACCAGAACAATGGAAGGATTTTACATAGTGGAGTGACGGGATCACAGTTGCGTTTTAGGAAGTCCATTCTAGCCAGTGGGACTGACTAAAGCATAAATTGGCAGGGAAAGGGAGAAAGATGTTCTCAACGCTGATAAGCACTGATTGCCGAAAGGGCTTGTTGATTAATACACTGTGCTGGGTTTCACTCTAAGAGATTCTGATTTTAGGGAGGTGGCCCCCAATTTTCATTTCTAAAAGGAGATGTTGATGCTGCTGGTCTGGGAACCACACTTTGAACCCCACTGTGTTAAGATTTAGGTGAGGTAGGTGGACAACTGCAGAGACCAGATGGACAATATCTAACACCGGAGCAGAGGCAATATGATGCAGAGGTGAAAATGTAAGAGGGACTCACATTAACTGATGAATATTATCTATGTTTAAAGAGTATCAATAATGTCTTATTTATTCATGAAACTAGTAATAGTTGGAATTTAGTCAGTGATGCACAAGGGCAAGCATGTCCTCATTTGGCTTTTTTTTTTTTTTTTTGATGCTCTATGCCAGTGATGGCGAACCTATGACACGTGTGTCAGAGGTGACACGCAAACTCATTTTTTTTGGTTGATTTTTCTTTGTTAAATGGCATTTAAATATATAAAATAAATATCAAAAATATAAGTCTTTGTTTTACTTTGGTTGCAAATATCAAAACATTTCTATATGTGACACGGCACCAGAGTTAAGTTAGGGTTTTTCAAAATGCTGACACGCCGAGCTCAAAAGGTTCGCCATCACTGCTCTATGCACTGATCAGGGAATGGTAGCTATTGCAGAGGAGGCTAAGGGTTCTAGGTTCTATTCCTGCTCCTGTCAGCTTTGAGACCTTTTATTATTTTTCTTCCTAATGGCAATAAAGAGATTTAACTACCATAGTGTTGACGTGGATTAAATTCTGTTACATATTTGAGCATAATTTAGAAATTTTAGTGTACTTTAGAAATATATCACTAATATTTGATTTAATATAGAAAGAGTAATTATTGAATATTTTCCCAAAGTCCTCCAGGTGCCTTAGTGCTGTCACTGGACCCCCATTTCCTAATGCTGTTCTCAGGGTACAATTGTCCCCGACTGGAAACAGAGGACTGCTTATGAAAAGGAGCTATGGAAGAAATAGCATTTGACTCATTTCTGGATCTCACCTTCTCTGAAGCCTGTGTCAGTTGAACTTGGTTTTTCAGCTCCTGTGGTTGTACTTGCTGATGATCCAGTGGTCTCTGAAGAAGATAAAAAACAAACACATGCTAGAAAAAGTACATGGACGCTGTCAACACTCCAGGTAACGGGCATGTATAACTGTCACAAGGTGATATACTTTAAGGAATCAACCTGTGAAAAAAAACAAAGACTCTACACTTTAGTTATATAAAAAGAACACCTATGTTGTCCTGGAGGGTGAGTGTGGCCGGGCAGGGGTCAATGGGAGAAAAAGGAGACATATGTAATACTTTAAACAATAAAAAAGAAATTAATAAAAAAGAAATATAAAAATGGGGACAGATATATGTAATACTTTCAACAATAATTGTTTTAAAAAAATAAAAAATTTAAAAAAAGAACACCTACGTCAGATAATATATCTAAGCCAGCTATTGTTATGTTGTAAAATATTGTACTGAGCAGCACTGCCTGAAACCAGTTGCTTAGACGTGGCTGTGTACTCTGTTCTGGACTTACTGTACCTGATACGTGCCAAGGACTGGTGAAGAGGGGACCCACTGCTCCAGGGGTGCTTGCACTTCCAGCTGTGAAGGTGACGGGAAACGGAGTACTCATAAGGCCTGAGAAAAAACAGGAAATGAACTCAGCTCAAGTATACTCGGGCTTTGTTGCCAATGGGTGACTTAACTGTTCAATCAATTCCTAACATAGAAAATAGAATCAAGAACCCAGTGACTTTCTACCCAGAGTTCCCTAAGATATTTTTCTAATCTTATTTTTGAAGCTAGAGTGTTAACACCCTCAAAAATATCTTTAACACAAAATAGGTTTGTAAGATAGGTTAACAGCCACAGGAAGGAAGCCACCTAGCACGCTGTTAACCATTATAGAAATCGCTCATCCCAGGACCTGCTCGGCGGCATTCAATAAATGGGTCTCATGATGTATAGCGTTCACCCCTGCACACCAAGGTAACATATTGACACACGTTTTTATAAGTTAAAGATGCTCGAGTATAAAGTCAGCCCACAAAGTGGAAATGACCACCCCGCCCACCACAGCTCTCTGAAACCAGACTAGAGGACACAAGGAGGGCAGTAGACAAGTGGAAGATGAAAATGAACTGCTTACGTAATCAAGGACCCATCAGCAAGCCCCACAGCCCTAAGCCCCTTACTCATGATTACCCATCATTTTTGTTGTATTAAAACCTCTTGACTGTCAGTCACCAGCAAGTTGGGATTTTGAGCACCAGCTCCCCCTTCTCCTGGGTGGTGCCATCCCAATAAAATCACTTCTGTTTCATCGCTGGAAAACCTGGTGTCAGTTCTCATTGACTTGCTGTGCACAGGTGGGCACAAACTCTCAGCTAGTTTGATGACACTTTCCTCTAAGATTTTGGTTTAGTCCTTGCTATTTTTTTCTTTTTTTTTTTTTCATCATCTATTTTTTTTTAATATATTTTTATTGATTTTTTTACAGAGAGGAAGGGAGAGAGATAGAGAGCTAGAAACATCGATGAGAGAGAAACATCGATCAGCTGCCTCCTGCACATCTCCCACCGGGGACATGCCCGCAACCCAGGTACATGCCCTTGACCGGAATCGAACCCGGGACCTTTCAGTCCGCAGGCCGACGCTCTATCCACTGAGCCAAACCGGTTTCAGCCTTGCTATTTTTTTCTTAAAAAAAACAAAGTCATGTTCTCTGCATCTGTAATGGGATCACACTAAGTTTGCATACTTGTCTTAACAAGGTTGCTCTCAAAGAAATGGAACCTAATTACACTGTCATTCGGGGGTGTAATCACAATGATGAAGTCATATCACCAAGTAGCTAATTGCTACTTTTACGCTTAAAACACCTAAAAGAACACAATATATTTTTAGATATATGTTTTCTCTTATCTTATATTCTTTTTAAAAAAATTTAAGCTTGATATTATTTAGTACTGTTGTAGATATTCTATTAATAGTTAATAATAAGGAAGAAAATAAAACTATCATATTATAGCCAATCAATATAAACTGGCCAAACACAAGTTAAATTCATTTTTAAAAAGTTCAAAACCAGTGGAAAAAGTCCAGTGTAAACTATTTCTTGGTAATATTTTTTTCAAAAGTCAAATTCTCATATAAATTCTTTCTTAGAAATCCAAAGTTACTAGTAATTTATACTGTTAGGTATTTCTAACATATAAAAGTCAGGAATTTATATACTGACCTGTAGTAAAAGCTTCAACGGGTAGAGTTAGAGTTGTTCCTGATAAGAAAAAAAGATATGGTGTGAATTTTTCTGACCTCAAGGGAAAATACAGAAAGATCGGTCCCTTGTAGTTTTTAATAGATAGTAGTTTGCAATGTATTTAGTGTTGAGAGTAATAAGATTTTATTTTATTTTTAAATAGTGACATTATAACATACATTCCAATTTATGTGGAATAAATATGCAGGAGTGAGCAACCGTAGGTTTATAGTTGTGAGTATGTAAAAGAGTTTATTCTTGTATTATTATTTATTACCTTTGCCCACTCCTGTATATTCACAATGACAAGTTAATTCTCTATTAAGCAGAGGCTGATTTTACAGTTTGTTTCTTTCAATTCCGTCTCTCTCAGGTTATCTGTGCCTCCAATAATTTTCTACAAAATAACATTTAGTCTGCAAGGGTTTGGGGTAAGAGGAAGGAGAAATACTTTTGAGGAATTTTTTAATGATTTGATAGAGCAGGTTTGTGGAGATACATTTGAAATGACCAATATGCTCCTGAAGAAAAAGACCATGTTTTTATATTTGCACTAGAGGCCCGGTGCACAAAAATTTGTGCACTCGGGGGCATCCCTCAGCCCGTCCTGTGCCCTCTCACAGTCTCGGACCCCTTGAGGGATGTCCACTTGCTGGCTTAGGCCCACTCCCCGGGGGATTGGGCATAAACTGGCAGTCAAACATCCCTCTGGCAGCCCAGCAGCTCTCGGGGGATGTCCACTTGCCAGCGGGGAGCAGGCCTAAGCTGCAGTCAGACATCCTTAGTGCTGCTGAGGAGGTGGGAGAGGCTCCCACTACCACCACTGTACTGGCAGCTGTCAGCCTGGCTTGTGGCTGAGCAGAGATCCCCCTGTGGGAGCACACTGACCACCAGGGGGCAGCTCCTGCATTGAGCATCTGCCCCCTGGTGGTCAGTGTGTGTCATAGTGACCAGTCATTCCCAGTGGTTCTGCTGTTAGAGTGAATTTGCATATTACCCTTTTATTATATAGGATAGAGGCCTGGTGCATGGGGGCCAGCTGGTTTGCCCTGAAGGGTGTCCCGGATCAGGGTGGGGATCCCGCTGGGGTGCCTGGCCAGTCTGGGTGAGGGGCTGATGGCAGTTTGCAGGCTGACCACACCCCTTCAGGGTGGGGGTCCCTACTGGGGTGCCTGGCCAGCCTGGGTGAGGGACTGAGGGCCATTTCCAGGCTGTTCACGCCCCCGGCAACCCAAGCTCCCAGCCTCTCCTATTTTCTTTTTTTCTGGGATTTATTTATCTTCTATAATTAAAACTTTGTAGCCTCGAGCGGAGCCCAGGGCTGGCTAGGGCAGGCAGGAAGCTTGGCTTCCTCCATTGCAGGGGGCAACCCAAGCCTCCTGCTCACTCCAGCTCCATGGCCGCGGCCATATTAGTTGGGTTAATTTGCATACTCGTTCCTGATTGGTTGGTGGGCGTGGCTTGAGTATAGTAGAGGGATGGTTAATTTGCATGTGTCTCTTTTATTATATAAGATTTCCAATACCTGTCCTATTGGCAAGAAGGTGGTAGGAGTTTATAAAATGTTTGTTGAGAGGGGTCTGTGGAGTTAAAAATAAGCCTTTATTAATTTCTGGCTTTCATCATCAATTAAGAGTCAGCTATTTTCTGTATTTCAGTCTTAATTTCTATTGAAAATCTCTGGAAAGCTATTGTTTATGGGGTTATATCCCTTTACAATTTTATAGTGTTTTGTAACTTAAAAAAGAAGAAAAATATAAATTTCTCACACAATCTCTCTATTTAATCCTCACTCTGTCCAGCCACACTGGCCTTCCTTCATTCTTTCATATCTGCTATTTGTACTTCTCTATACTTGGAACAAAGTTTCTCTCCTTTTTGTCTACTTACTACTTATTGGTCAGTTCTCAAATCAGCCATCTTTATGTCAGCCTTTTCTGACCATCTTGACTTAATCAAACCCCTGCTCTATCCTCTTCACCCACATTCTAAGCACTTCACAGCTCTTGATGCAAGTTTTCATTTGTTTTTGTAATTACTTGATTGATATCCTGGCTAGACTATAGGTTTTAAGAATGCAAGAAACATGTCTATTTTAACTCACCTTTATATCTCTAAAAACATTAGAGTACCTAGCACATAATAGACGTTTGGTAAGTATTTGTCAACAGAATGAATGAATAAACCCATGAATGAATGAATGAATGAATGAATGAACAAATGGAATAAAAGTATTGTAACTATTCTACATATGAAGAATTGGACTCAGAAAACTGAAGTAATTTATTCAAGACTATTGCTAGTCAGTGACAAAACTGAGACTAAAATCTAAGTCACCTAGGACCTATGACTGTGACACAAGTCCACTTTGAAATTGGAATCTGTAATTATATGCTACTTCAATAATGGATTTAAATTAAATTAAACTTCATTCTCTTTCTGAAACATCAAAACACAGAAGCATTACAAGTGGAATCTAGAAAAAGATGTTCTGAATTTTAATCCTCTCTCTGCTACTTATTAGCAAGGAACTCGATATATAACTTAACCTCTTTGTGCTTCCATTTCCTCATTTGTAAATTGGGGGAAATGATGGGACCCACTTCATAGAGTTTTCTGTATCAAATATGATAATATATGTCACACACTTAGAACAGTGCTCAGTAAAGGTTAGCTCTGTGTCAAGATCTGTCAGTTTAAACAGGGGAAAAATAGAACTGCATATATTTCTTCTAAAAATAACATACTTAATTGAAATGGTTGGGTAGGCATCTCTCATGGTATTTTAACCCTTTGAAGCACTTACTAGATAAAAAAGAAAATGGATATATAAGACATGGAAAAAAGTTTAAGCTTTGTATATTGCTTCTCTTATGCTTTTAAAGATTTCTATAATGTTTTTCTAAATTTGTCAAAAGTGCACTTGAATCCTGTGCTATGTACCTCAATGATAGGCTCAACAATGAATTCATACCTCAGCTTCTATCCAAGATGCTCGAGTATAAAGTCAAATGAACCATCAATCCTCTCTTGAGGACCTAGTCATTTCTCCTTCTATTTGACAGTAATGCCTTTGTTCATCTGAGCAAGATAATTTTTTATTTGTTTGTTTATTTGATTGGGAAGACAGGGTTTAATTAGAATCACTATTTCAGAGTTTCATTAGTATCTTTCTTAAAAATTTTAAGTATAGTTGGTATACAATATATTAGTTATATTAATATCAGGTGAAAAACACAGTGATTCATCATTTTTATATCTTACAATGTGATCACTTCACTAATTATAGCGATCACCTGTCACCGTGCAAACTTATCACAATATTACTGACCATATTGTCCTTCACTGTTTTCACCCATCCACTCATCCTCTTCCCTCTTGTAGCCATCCCTTTGGTCTCTGTTTCTGAATTTATTTTTGTTTTGTTTGTTCATTTGTTTTGTTTCAGATTCCAAATATAAGTGAAACCATAGGATACTTGTCTTTCTCTGTCTGAGTTCACTTAGCATAATACTGTCCAGGTCCATCCATGCTGTCACAAATGACAAGACTTCATTCTTTTTTAATATTCCATTATATATGTAGAGCACATCTTCTTTATGCATTCACCTATCGATGAACACCTAGATTGCTTCCATATCTTGGCTATTGTAAACAGTGGTGCATGAACACAGAGGTGCATATATCTTTTTGAATTAATGTTTTTGTTTTCTTTAGCAAATCTAGTAGTAGGATTGATGGGTCATACAGAACTATTTTTAGTCTTCGGAAGAATCTCTACACTGTTAAATTTACGGAAAGAAACTTTAAAATATTTTATTTCATCTTTTCAAGTTTTGGTAAAAAAAATAAAATAAAGCCTAATTGCCAGTGAGAAGTACTTAATTCAGTGAAGTATTTGATCCAGTATTTGATCAAAAGTACTTTACCCAGGGAACAAGATAATAGCAAAGAGCTGCATTCCCTCCACATATCAAACAACCCTAATATCTCGCTACATTATACCAGAAAAAAAATTCTTTTTCTTCTGATCTTTGTTATCCTGAGAAAATATTGAATGCTAACTATTCTATAGATTGGGATTGGGTGCAATTGGGAACACAGGAATGGCAAACCATGGTCTCTGCCATCAAGGATGTCCACTGGACTTACAGTGACAACCATTTAGCAATATATACAAATATTGAATCATTATGTTATGTACCTGAAACTAATATAATGTTATATGTCAATAATATCTCCATAAAAATGCCATGGATTTAAGTACATGTATATATAGATTAGAAGAAAGAAAGAAATAATAGGAGGAAGAGAAATAGTGTGAAGTTGGAGGAAGAAAAGGTCCTAAGTATTGGAGACTGGGTATGTTAATTCTAATAAGTAAATTGAGATAAAACAATTTTAATACATGTAAAAAACTTTGTCCTTTGATAGGCTTTCTAATTCACCTACCTGTTGTCTCACCGCTTGATGTTGTAATCCCTGGAATGAATGTTGCTGATTTAAAGAAAAGAAATTTTTAAAAAATTAAATTTGTATGAAGGGAAAATTATGTTTCTGAGAACATCTATTATCACATATAAAATGGGTGAAAATGAATGTTTCAAATAAATTTGATCATATAAGTGAATGGATGTTAAAATGTGAAATTAAATTTTTAACATCTATAGTACACATGTAAAAGGTCAAAAAACTTATTTTGTATAATATTTTTCTGGACTCCTCCCCTAAGAAATTTTAAAAAACAATATAAATAAACAAAAATTTCACCTAAATACTATAGCAAAGGGAAGTTTTAAATTTTTTAATGCCCTCTTGATTAAGTTGTTGTTCGATATTATGGCTTACCTGTGCCTAAGCTACTGGTTGTCAATGGAATTGCTATACAAAGGAGGAAACAAATATTTGGAAATGTATGTTAAAAAGGTGTTGAAGAGCCCTAACCAGTTTGGCTCAGTGGATAGAGCATCAGCCTGTGGACTGAAAGGTCCCAGGTTCGATTCCAGCCAAGGGCATGTATCTTGGTTTCGGGCACATCCCCAGTAGGAGGTGTGCAAGAGGCAGCTGATCAATGTTTCTCTCTCATCGATGTTTCTAACTCTCTATCCCTCTCCCTTCCTCTCTGTAAAAAATCAATAAAATATATTTTTTTTAAAAAAGGTGTTGAAGACATGTTGTATTGCTAGAATGCAAATAAATAATTAAATGTAATAGTTCAACTTATCAGATGTTGACACATTTTAATATACTTTTGTACTCTACTGGTTACTATTTTAATTAAAGTTATTTGATGCTAGTAAAAAAAAATTGTAAATTATTTTCAAAGAATTTAACAGAATTTTCTTTAGTTGCCACTTTTTCCAAATTAGTAGCATGTGCAATGTTCTTTTTAGGACACATATGCTCCAAATAGAGATGTTTCTTTACTCATATTACAATTTAGATGTAGATCCTACTATTTGGCATTTACAAAATACATACATACATACATACATACATACATACATACATATTTGAAAATAAGGCCAAAATGCCTAAATGGTTGCTGCTAATTTGGAAGTTAAAAAGCAAATAAGCATCTATGTTTTACCTGCTGTGGTGCTTAATATGGAGGTAGCCGTTGTAGTAGAAACTGTTCAGGGAAGACAATATTTATGAAAATTATTACTTGAATAATTTTTGCTGGGAAATTTAGTTAAAGAAACAAGTTGCCTTAAAAAAATAATAAATTTCTGAAATTATGTGTAAAGGTTAAGTGAAAAAACAATCTTTCATTCAAATCAAAAGAGCACTATATGTTTATTGCATGTCTACCAAAATAACTAATTATTTTCGGTTAGTACCACTTAACCAAAATCTCATAGGAACCTTATAAGGTCTGTATATGGGCCAAAAATAAAGTTCAGAACCTTAATATATAATAGCCTTAGTGTTAAGTACGTAACCAATAATAACGAAAATGTAAATAGCATTTTACCGACGATCACATAACTTTAAATATATTATCAAAACCTAAAGTTTCTAATTTACTGTGCTACCTCCAAATATCAATCAACAGGAAATAAAAGCCCTCCTTGAATCACACAAGAAGGAATAGGGAAGTATACTGCAGCAACTTAAATACTTAAATTAAAAGTCCGCAAGCCATAGTGAAATTTCATTTTGCCCAGCACTCCCTTGAATGGACATAACTGGAATGCTTTTATAGCTTACAGCAAATATATAAGTTAAGAAAAAGAAAACTTTTTATTTCCATGTTTTCAAATGATCTCCCAGTGTCATCATGATTTTAAAATATTTACTTCATGGCAGACCACATTTACTCCTTTTTCATTCCATTTATTCCAATTATTATCTTAAAATGTCAAGCTTTAGATTATGTGTTTAGCTAATAAGCAAACAATACCTATTGTATGTCTTAATCATATTCCTAACTTAATTCACAGGAGTATAATGAAATAATATTTTGACATATTTTCTAGTAACTTAATTTTAATTTGAAATTTTTATATCAGCAGATTTATCAGCCTATCTTTTACCTGCACAGATTCATGTAAAACTATAAAAAGTTATCCACAAAACGAATCAGAAACACATATTTAAAATAATGATCATTTTACCTGTAACTGTTGAATTGTCAGCACCAATTCCTGTAATAATCATAAATTACTATTATTAATGCAAAATCATGAAGAAATTTAAATCTCAAGCTGCCTATGGGTTATGTCTTTTGTATCTCACTCTTTACATTTTCTAGTACGCAAAAGAGTAGTTCCTGTGTTCTTTAGAAGCTCATTGGATTTATTTTTAAGATGTGTCGCTCCTGAGCGATTCTTCCATTGTTTAATTCTATCTGTATCAACCCTCACTTGCCACTCCACCATTTATTCAACTATTTTGGCTGATGTCTCACTCCCTTAATCCTCAGAACCTACAAACAGGCAGGCGCACACATGCAACAGAACTGCCCACATGCCGGTGTTCACAGTGACTTGGCAGCATTGGATTGGAACTGACCTGACATCAACAAATACACTGCAATGGAATGAATGGCCTCGATTCACTGAGGGGCAGTGGGAAGCATTAAGTACCTATTCTGTTGTTGATGAACTGAAAAGATCCCAGACCCTTTATCTAGTCCAGTGATGGCAAACCTATGACATACGTGTCAGAGGTGACACGCGAACTCATTTTTTTGGTCGGTTTTTCTTTGTTAAATGGCATTTAAATATATAAAATAAATATCAAAAATATAAGTCTTTGTTTTACTATGGTTGCAAATATCAAAAAATTTCTATATGTGATACGGCACCAGAGTTAAGTTAGGGTTTTTCAAAATGCTGACACACCGCGCTCAAAAGGTTTGCCATCACTGATCTAGTCTTTCCTAAATCAATTACAGTAAAATGCAAGGACTCACCACTACACGCCAACTCTCCTGCGATGCAATAGCTGAAAGTTAATGTTTAAAAAATAAGAATGAGATTGAAATTTTAACTCCTAGTTACATTTATCTTCAAAATGTAAAACAACAAATTGTCTAACAGTGAAAATCAAAACAGGAGCAAGTAAGAGAACAGTCAATCATTGCTTCCCCAAGAGCGTGCTATTGACTCAAATTGCTTGGTTTTTGGTGTTGTGTTTTTTTCCCCCAAATACTGTTATTTCTAATCATTTCCCTAAGGAGTTCTTGGGACCTAAAAGAATTCCTTACACTCAAGCTGTAGTTAGTTCTCCCACTTTCAGTTTCAAACACGCTGTGGCTGCTCTAGCATGGATGCCACCTCTTTGCTTCCATGTCCCTGTCTGAAAGGCTATCGACATGATCTTACATTTATAGAAGCAAAACTTTTTTTTTACCTAAAACTACATAGTATCATTTTTATCTTATCTTCTGCATTATTCAGTGTAAGATTTAACCATTTGCTGATATGTGGGTTTACTGAAAATACAAAATAACTAACTTCACTGATGTAACACTAAAGCTGGCCTTTTTATTTAGAAATGAGTTAAAAATTACATGCATATTTTTTTTCTTGGTTTCTTTTCTAAATTAAAATGTAAGAAACAGAATTGCTTAATAGAAAGGTAGGAGAGAATGTACCATGTTCTCCCACAGTTGTCTTGGATCACTCCACCTGCTGGTATGACATCATTGTAGAAGCAGCTGCACTCGGATAACCTGACGCATTTCATGGTGTTCTCATCCAGGTAAGGAGCACTCTCCGGGCACTTAGCATAACAACCTGTGTGTGAAAATGACCCACCGTTGGTCTCTATGTACCGAAACTGATCACAATGCATTATAGAGTTATAAAGTTACTTAAATGATTTCATGAACTAAAGTAGATAATAGCAAAATGACAACACATTCTTAAGAATGACAATGGGCAATGGGATTGTAGCACTGGGTCTCCTCTCTCTCTCTCTCTCTCTCTCTCTCTCATTAAACAGATAATTTACATCCTGAGAAAATGTTTTCAATGTGGAAATATTAATGTCATAATAAAGATAACTAATCATTAAATTACAAAATGTAGGACACTAAATTGTCAGGAGCTAACAACAATTTCAAGTTTTGGGGGTTTTTTAAATATATTTTTATTGATTTCAGAGAGGAAGGGGGAGGGAGGGAGAGAGAGCTAGAAATATTAACAATTAGAATCATTGATCGACTGCCTCCTGCATGTCCCCTATTGGTGACTGAGCCTGAAACCCAGACGTATACCCTGATCAGGAATCGAACCATGACCTCCTGGTTCCTAGGTCAACACTCAACCACTGAGCCACACGGGCCGTGCATCCAATTTTAAAATCCTGCATAATAAAAGCGTAATATGCAAATAGATCAAATGGTGAATGTCTGGTAGCTATGACATGCACTGACAACTAAGGGGCAGACGCTCAACACAGGAGCTGCCTCCTGGTGGTCTGTGTGCTCCCACAGGGGAGACATCGCTCAGCCAGAAGCCAGGCTCACAGCTGGGGAGCGCAACAGCAGTGGCAGGAGCCTCTCCTACCTGCCCCCACTACAGGCAGGCAGTAAGGAGCGAGGGGTCCGACATTGCAAGAGCCCCAGACTGTGAGAGGGATGTCTGACTGCCGGCTTAGACCCAATCCCTAAGAGGATGGGGCCTAAGCCAGCAGGTGGACATCCCCCAAGGGGTCCCGACTGAGAGAGGACACAGGCCGGGCTAAGGGACCCCATCCCCCCCCCCCCGCCAGTGCACGAATCTTGTGCACCGGGCCTCTAGTATCAATAAAATTTGCATTACTTCATGGATATTATTAAAATTCACCTTACCTTCTAAAAGTGCAGAAAATTTCTGGCCAATAACTCGATCTTTGCATGTTTTTGCAGTCACCGTCCCGCACGGCTCATAATGCCAGCTGCATTCTCCAGGGGCATTATAATAATCACAGTAGACAGCTGTAACCGAATTATAGCCAATTATTCCTCTTGTTAGGTAACAACTTTCACTTTCATTTCCCCAAGTATTTTTAAAAAGGAATTTGAATGATATTACAATAAGCAGAACTAAAGTATGCCATTCTGTCTTATCAATTTCCTTTGTATTTATCCAAATTCTTATATAAGCCCAAATAGCTCACCAAAAAAAAAAAAAAAAAGCATATAGAATCAAAATAACACTTTTCTTTGACAAATAGCATTCATGTTGGTTTGAGGTGGAAAAGTAATATTAATTTTCCCATTTTTAGATAATTTAGGTCATAGTCTAGATTTGCAGTTTTAATGTTCAAATTTAAATTAGAAAAAAATAAATCTCTGCAAAAATTAAGCTTTTTAAAATATGTAAATAGCAGTTCCCAAATGAGGTAACTAAAGATTTCAATAAAACATAAGCTGAGCATCATAAACTGAATAAAATGATGATTCAATTTTAACATTGCTCATTTGTCATATTTTCTCATAGTACCTTCCTTAAAAAGGAAGCGTTGACTGATTCCTATTACAGTTACCACTTTCCATATATGTCACGATTCATTTTACATTTATCTTACAGTTTATCTTGACTAGGGCTCTATAAAAGTTTTTATGATAATGAGTGAGGACTTTAACCAATAGTGATATATGACGTAAGTTCTTAAGGATTTGTGACTGTAACAGGTTATATAAACAGTTTTTTGTTCATCTAAGTTTGAATGAGATCTTTTCCATCAGTATTCAATTTCCCCCCTGTAAAACCAAGAACTTCTGCAAGTAAAATTGAATTTAATGTGGTATGCTAGGTGTTATGCTTGTTTAAAATAGGTATTTTTTTTCCAATCGTGACTTATTAATATGTTTTTAAACCTAAGTACAAGATTTTATATAGATAGATATAAATAATATAGAGAGTTTATATATAATCTATAGTATATAGAGAGAAAATGTGAGAAGAACGATTACTTAACAAAACAATTCTGCCTAATTACGTTGTTAAAGAACACTTTATGGGCTCCACTTACGACAGAGGTCGGGCTTTCTCCACGCCACACAGACTCCAACCGCGCTGCACGCCTCCGCATACATGGCCACAGCCGTGCAGAATCCCAGGTACTTGCCCTCCATGTCGCAGGCGCAGGCTTCCTCGATGCACGCATCGTAGTAAGTGCTGGGGTCCACCTGCGGCGGAGGACAGAGCGTGAGTGTCTGGGCGCGGGCGCCGGCGCGGGCGCGGGCAGGACCCCCCCTCAGAGCCCGGCTACCTTGCTGTGGCACTCTCTGAAGGTGCTGTCCCGGATGATCTCGCATTTCCGCACAGCCCAGGCTTTGCAATAGGGGTTGGAGTCACATGGGAAAGTCTGAGTTACGGTGTCTGAACATTCTTGAGACGTCTTCCAGCTATTTCCAAACTCCAGTGCTCCGGTAGCTACTGAGGAGTACCGCGTTGTGAAATCATCCTTGAGATCGCCGTTGCTGTTTCCACAAAGACCACACACTTTGCCCTAGCCACATCAGAAAGGAAAATGAGTAAGTTGTTAGGGATATAGACATATAGGTGTGTAATATATATATATATATATATATATATATATATATATATATATATATATATATAGAGAATAGAGAGAGAGAGAGAGAGAGAGAGAGAGAGAGAGAGAGAGAGAGATGAGATCAGAAAGGAAAATTAAAAGTGAGTTTTACTAGTTCTATGTATAGAGCTGGATAGGTAATGATATATATTGTAATCATTAATCTATTTTAAAATTTATATTTTGAAAGGAAACCAGAGTTTGTGGATAAGATTCTGCTCCATTTAATTCAAGAAATCCTATATTGTAAAGTGATCTAGTATCAAATAAGATAAATGCCTTAAGAATGAAAACATTATTATATTCACTAGCTTCTAAATTTTCGTGAGAATCCCCTTAGGTTCTTAGAATATTTACTCTCAGGAATACATCTAATTCTATATATACACCAACTACTTCAAAATTGAATTTATGCAATAATCTCAAATAACCATATGTGGTTAAACTAGAGGGCCTCAGGTGTATTGCATTTATTTTTCACCAGATTCAAACATCTTTGATTATAGTTCGTATTGCATGCAGATTGAATATATGTGGAGCGCTTGTTCTATAACAGAGACTACCCTCCTCCCACTTTCTATCTACAAAGATGTGTATAATTCTCAGTAACAGAAATGATTTTGCTTCCCAATTAATTACTTATTAGTGATGTACATACATTCCAGTATGGCTCCAATATAACAGTCATTCTTGTGTTTTTGTCCCAAATCACGGTTATTCCAGAGACAAATTTCAGAATCAGGTATAGGCCAACGGTATGCACAGTGTACGCATTTCCATTGAGTTCACACTCCTTGCTTTCTGTCGTTTTGATGGCTGTTACCTTACCATCTTGCAAGATAACATTCTGATCCTGAAAATAAAAACATATACTTACAATTAAATCCATTTTATTTGGCCAGTCGTAATCTGAGAGGAGAAGTAAGTAAAGAGAAATGGCACTGTACCTGAAAAGCAACTATGATTTTTCTTGAGCACGTGAGCCCATCTTCACAGCAAGGGACGCTTTCAGTTAAAATGCGGAATGTGCCATTTTCACTGCCACAATAATCCTTTAAAAATCAAATTATAATACATTTATGAACATCAGGGATGTGGAACTCAATTTCAACATTTGTATCAGACAAATATCTCACTCAGTGACACCTGAAACTCAATAAGTTACCATAAGCTGGTAATTTATTATGGGATGTTATGGAATTCCCACAAGACAGTAGTCCCCTTGACTGAGTGCAAACTAGTCACCTCGCTTTGACTCAGCCCTTTACCATTTCTTCTATATGGGTTTAGAATTATATCATAGATATGCAAGTATTTAAATTATATAAGTTTATAATCATAAGTTTATTTCTGGATGCTGTAAACAGCTAAAGGTATGTTTTTTCTCTCTTGGTGATTTATATGAAACTTACTATTCAATCAAAACTAATAAATACCAACAATTACATTTCGCCCATTAGATGTTACTGAGGAAGGAGCTTAGTTGTATGTAACGAACTCTGGAACCAATCAGATCAGGTTTGAATATGGCATTGTCTACTTAGCAATTTGCATTGCTTATCCTCTCTGACCTTCATGTCTTCAGCTGAATCATAGGAACACTATCAGCCTCTTAGTGTCATAATAATTAAATGAATAAAATACATAAATTTGCTTGGCAGAGAAACAATCATAAAATGCTGTTGTAACACATAGTGCTGTTCTTAAAATATAATAATATCTAACATTAAATAAGAAGTTAGTATGTGCTCCAGTATTTTTTCTAATTTCTTTTCAAGTAAGGACTATTTCCATCCCCGTGTTATTGATAAGGGAACCGAGACACAGAAAGGTGAATGGATGTGCCCAAAGCCACACATGTGAGAAGGTAGAGCTGGGATTCAAATCCAGGTGGCCTGCCTTCAGAGTCAGCATTCCTTTGTTACAGTTTATTGCCTTTGAGAAACATGTAAGGGGCATTTAAAATATTTTTTTCACGTTTTCAGAATAAAATTATCCAGAGCTTATATACAAAAAATAATAAGAAATATAGAGAAACTGTGGCAAAACACTTGCAGTTACCTCAACAAATGAATACTGGCAGAGCCCATCAAAGCTGTAACTTTTTCTGTCAAAAGTTTGAACGTGACCTTCCCCATAGATGTGGCAGGTACTCTGACATTCATTTTGTGTGCAGTTCCAAGATCCTTTCATGCAAGTACTAAAAGGAAGCAATGATAGCGGGCACACCAGTTATATTACTCCAAGATGTCTATGTGCATACTGTTTTTGTATAAAAGCACTAAACAGTTTTCGTATGGATTTAAATTTTGTAATTGTCTTCATTACATTTTACGATGTTCATCCTATATGATGGTATATAAAGTTCTATTTAAAGATATAGCATTTTTTCTAAATACATTTGACCATTATTTTTGAAATATCCCAGAGTATGACTTTTCCTTTCCCATAAAAATAAGGGCAGACATCACACTTCCTAATATCCAAAAAATAAAAAAGCAATCCTTAGGCACCATTTGTTGCAGCCAACTGAGGTGACACTTCCTTGGCTATACTCTCGTCCACCAAAAGAGCAAGGGCAGTCATCAGGAAAGACACAGTTCCCTTTAGAATCTCGAACCATTCCTACTGGACAGTAGCACCCATGTTTGCAAGGCGAGTTCTCCTACAGGAATAAGTACAAAGTATGCATCATAAGGCACTGCTCTCAGCACATCACATTATCAGCATTAATGTACAATACATTAATATACCAGGCATGCATTTAGTGTCAACATTGGACAAGTCAAAATAACAAGCAATAAATAATATGACCTTCTCATTATTTTTTTATCTGCATTTAGTTCCTTTTGCCCCGAAACTATGAAAAGTTTTAAAGAGCTAAACTCTGATGCCATGTTACTTACCTCAAAATTAGGTATGTTGCGAGTGCTGCATGTACTGTCAACTCTTCTCTGTGCCTTGGGATCACTGCAGTCAACATATTCAGCCCCTCCAGAGCAATTCTCTGCAGGAGAAAGGAAGGGATTAACCAAGGGCCTCTTGATCTGTTTATTTTAACCAAAATAGGTATCGTAAGCCTTCACCATGATGTCAACACTTACGGTGGGTTAGATCAATGGGAGTCTGGCAAAGAAGAATTCCATCCCGACAGACACTGGAAAGACAAGAAAATGATGCATTTAAACATAGAATTTCAATAACAAAATCTTAATACACTGTTACAATAACTTTAACCCCTCATCCATGCACCACCTGTTTTAGTGCAAGTAGTAGTCTGAATGAGACACAGTCCTCAGAAAATGCAGATGAACCAAAATATAAGATATAGGCTTGAATGTGTGATAGGAATATACAAACAAAGTTGTATGGATGTCAAAGAAAGTTTGATTCTCCCAAGAGTTAGTACCCTGCTTACTCTTGAGTCCCAGACAACGTTCATTCATCTTTGCATCAGCTGCAGTAAGCACAGGCCTGGTACACAGTAAATATACATTTGATGTGTTTGTTGAATGGTGAATGCTGAGAGACAACTAGAAAGTCTTGTCTGACTAGGAAATCATTTCTACATTGTTTGCAGGTAGGAGCTGCTAAAATATTCTTCTACTGGTATTTAAAACCAAACAACAGTAAGATAGATTAGTTACAGCCACGATGATGCAATGAACACTCTGATAAAGGGTGTCAATAGCCAAGCTTCCTCAGAAGTAGAAAACAAAAGATGTGACAGGTCTAAAGAAGACATCATGCTAGCAAAAGACTATTTCTCTGAAAACGACAATCCCTGGATTTCAAAGCGATAACAAATAAATATGTGATCTCCATACCATTTATTGTCATCAATCTCGATGAGTTTGCCTGGCTTTATGACCTCGTCATTCATGTAGCACTCACACTGGGACTTTGAAACACAATTTCCTTCGTTATCCTTGTACATCCCATCAGGGCAAGTGCATCCGTCTACCGGAACATCTTCTACCTCACAGCTCCTATCGCGCTCTGACAGGGATCGGCAAGAGCTGTTGCAGGCTTTTACATTGTACTTGAAAACTAGGCCACTTGGACACGAGTGATCTGTAGGGATAGGATAAATATGCACATATTCAGAAAAATTAGCAACTTTATTTCAATTTGATGTTTACAGATATTATAGTAAATTTAGTAAATTGTTCATAATTGATTTTTAAAATATATTTTTATTGACTACAGAGAGGAAGGGAGAGGGAGAGAGAGCTAGAAACATCAGTAATGAGAGAGAATCATTGATCGGCTTCCTCTTGCATGCTCCCCTTTGGGGATCGAGTCTGCAACCCGGCATGTGCGGGCTCATGACCTCCTGGTTCATAGGTCCACGCTCAACCACTGAGCCACACTGGCTGGGCCATAATGGAGATTATTTTTAAAAATCAAGACAACGTACTCATTCACTGTTTATCCCCCCCCCGCCTTCCCCTCCCCCAGTTCATATTGAGTCCCTACTATATGTTTATATGTTTTGCTGCTGGGGGAAGTACACTTTCCTTACGTGCTGTGTGCAGCAGGGAACCTGCTCTTGGTGAAGAGGAGGGACAGCGTGAAAGCAGCCCAGAGAAAGGTAATTCTATGTGCGGGCAACAGCCTAAGTTAGAAGAGGAGGAGATTCTTGTAAAGAGCACGTGAAAGAGTAAAAGCTCTGCACCCAGACCCCGAGTCGGCAGGTAGAGCCCTCAGGCCTTCCTAGGCACTGTGGTGTTTCAGAGCCATGACCAGCCCCTGCCCTGTGTTAGACCGAGTGCCACACAACCGGGTTTGCTTTATTGGTTTTCTTTAAAGATGACACTGACTTCTCTGGTGAAAATGGATTTGAGGAACCAAGAGGGAAAGTGAAGGAAGCTATTGCCGTCACCCAGGAGGAAAAAATCATGGTTTCTCAACTAGGTTGATGGCAATAAAGATGAAGCGATATGGATGGATTTTAGAGAAATTTTGGAAGTGAACTTGACAGAACTTATTGATTGACTGGATATGGACTATGAGGTATTAAGTGTGATCTATAAGAGATGCCTTTGTACAAAACATTATTTTTATAAATTGAGTACTTTCTAAAGTTGCATTCAAGTAGTGCAGTAAGTATTTTAAAACAAAGCAAGGTTTTACAAATGATAGTTGAGACTTTAATTTACTGATTTAATTTTATTTGGTTTCTAATAAATAAGTTTTTTAACACTTGACTCTGACTTAGAAATGCAGTAGGAGTCAGGATGTTATTTAAATTTTGGCAGATAGTAATTGAGCAGAAACGTATATTTATACATAAATACATACATATTCTGTTCTATTTAAATATAAACATATTAAATCAAGATAAAAGAAATAAATAAGGAAGTAAAAATGCAAGGATTGCTCAAAGATAAAATGTTTCATATATATACATATGTATACATATAGACACAAAGATATACATGTATATACACATATATAACCCTATGTGTGTGTGTGTGTATATGTATATATATACATATACATATATATATATATACACACACACATATATATACATACACACACACATAGGCACTGAGTGACCATATTTAAATCACATGCTAATCCCTGTCCTTCAGCAGGCTGGGTTGCTTTGATTGGTAATTCTAATTAGATTTACCCCAATGAAGATGGGGCAGATTCCCAAAGAAATATCAGAATTTTATTACAAAAAAAGGGAGGACATGGATCTTGCGTATTCAATATAATTGAGGAACAGAAATGTGCACTATTAATATTTTTAAATTGTTATTGTTTTCCTTGGCATAACCCCCCAAACGTGTAAATGCAGTATCAGGACAATGAAGATTTTTATAGTTCCTACTGCCTAACGTCACTGACTTCCAAAATGTCACACTAGTGCCTGAAGCTCCTCCTCCCTTACCCAGGACCGGGGGAGACATTGTTTTAAACCACACGTCTGGCAACTAACCATCTGTTGTGTGTCAGAAACAGAAATTTCTCTTTGATAGACTCTCTCTCTCTCTCTCTCTCTCTCTCTCTCTCTCTCTCTCTCTCTTAAAATTGAGAAGGAAGCATTATCTGAAGCCTTCATCCTTCTTACCGCATCGTCCAGTTCTCCATTCCACTATGTATGTTTCCTTCTCAGCACACGCTTTCACATAGTTGCCTAAAATTGTGCACAGACATTCTTGACCATCTTCACAACTGCAAGTGTATTTTTTGCATTCCTTTAAAATAAAAAAAATTATATTACATTATGAATATATTCAGAAGAACAGATAAGCCGAGTATGATGCTTCAGTTCATTACCACTCTGCTTCCCTGAAAAATAAACTGGTTTTGAAACTGGGAAATATTTCTTTTTATAGTAAAAATTTGCAAGACAGCATATCAATAGTTAACTGAGTTTTCAACGAACTTAGGAAAGACAGAAAGAGACCATCATTCAAGATTTTTCTCATTTTTTGTACCACATTTTAAATTAAAATTGGTATATCTAACAATTGAATAAATTAGTGGAATCCCATGCTAAATTTAAACATATATCATCATCTACTGTCAATGGTTGCTTTTAAATTTTTTTAATATCTGCATGAATCTTTTGAGATTGTCAAAGTATTTCCTAAAAAAGTTGTTAATGTTAGACCCTCACATACCTCATGATACGGTTTGGGGTTCACAATTGGATGGCAGGAAGCAAAAGGCCCATTTGAATCAAGAAGAATTCCACAGTGACTTTCAGCAAACCTTTCTGGAAGGAAATTAAGGCACCCCAAAATTATATTAATAACTTTATAATTTTTAATTACAAGACAAAAGTGCAAATGTATAACAAAGTTTTGTCTTTAAGTAATTGTGTTTTTAAAGTGTTTTTAAATTGAATTTATTGCTATTTAAAAACAATAGCATGATATAATAAGAGACACTTTAAGCCAAAGAGGCAGAAATCTTTATTAGCTTTGGACTTTTATGTAAAATCAGCTAACCTTATTCTGCAATGCAGTTTATACCTACACATAAGTGGTAAAAAGAGAACCAGATTATTTATTTAGGTGTCTTTTCATTTAAAATATAAATTTATGTCTGTGTTGACAAGTTGGGTAAATGAAGCCACCACAACACCCCTCATTTCACCCCTGTCACCCAGTATAATTTCCTTAATAAGATGCAGGGTTTGGGATAACTAATATATTTGATAGCAGTGGCTGGGACACCTGGATCTGGCTATAGCTCTATTGTTAAGTGGCTCACTCTTTAACAATTTCAAGCAACGATCACTTCCATGAGCCTTGTTTAATAAACCAAATAATCTATAAAGTCTCTTCTACCCCTATTATTCTATAACCATGGAGAAAACTGTATCAAAAGGAAAAAATGGATATGGAAAACGACAACTGAGATGACCCAGCCATTCCCTGTGAAAGATGTGTTTGCTAGGAATGCCCTCAGCCACACAGACAGTTTCTCTAATCATGGGACAGCACGCCAAACAGTAGTTAAAACCAGATTTATGTGATAGACTCCTATCATTACCAGAATAAGTACATAATTCCTAGCACCTGATCTTTAACCACAGAGTTTGGCATTTAATTAGCATTACCTGTGTCTATGCTGATGCATGAAGTTGGGTTTCCTTTAGGACAGGACATCATTTCCCAAGAATCAGCAAAAGCCTGAGACGACTTCTCCAATATATTCTGACTTGACATGAAATCATCCTCTACTCTGTTGTTGTAGGAGCCACAGAGTCCTGTGGAAGAGCACAGGACAAAGTTGAACATCCCCTTCCCTACTCAACTTTTTGGACTCATATCCTCACTTCATATTCAGTTCTTTTTGTCAAAACTGCAGAAGCTATCTAAGAGTACAGCTTGCTTAGTCTTTAAACACGTAAGTGACTATGGAATTTGCCGTAATTGTTCTTGTTTGTTTCGTGTGACGCCATTGACAGTATGTAAGAGCTGATTTCTGTAGTAGAAAAAACCTCAGTGGAAGATATGAAAATGTGACCAGAAAAAACATGTTATACTGTAGTTTGTATGTGAAATATGATTTTCAAAAGATTGATATCCATAATATCTTAGTTTATTCTTTTACAGACCCAAATCCTTAAAAATTCATATTAACAAAAGGATATTTAACATATTATCAAAGATCACTATATTTGAAAAATAAAAGCCTTTATTTAAAAGCCTAAAATGTTGAGAACCATTTAGGAATGGGTTTTGTAACAAACAAGGTTGTCATTACTATAAAAAGCAAATTGAAATTTTACTGAAATATAAAAAGGAAGATGAAGTAAAAATGACTTATGGTTTAATATCATTAAGAGACAATTGAAAATTACAAGAGATGATTGACATATTAGAGTCTTGGAAATAAAAACATAGGCAGAGGACTTACCAACAGTGTCTGTGAATTGGTTAGGTGGCATGGAGACATATAATTGCATCACGGGATCAGTTTGTATTTGCATTTTTACATGAGAGTATGTTTCTACTTGAAAGTATGAGAGAGATGCCTTGAAAATCTGTATTTTGTCTGTTAAAAGAATTATTAACATTATTAGCAGGAATTAATATATTAAACAGTTTTAAATTTATTGAAGTGTTTTTATTCTTTAATATATATTAAAAACAGAAACATTTATTATCATTAAAACTTGAATAAATGAATGCCTCCTACATTTATTTTTAAGTGGTATTATTAAACTTACCTGAATAATAATAATTTTGATTTTCAATCTTGTCATTTGTGACTGTTCCATCTTTATTAAATACATATTTGTCAACTGAACCAGACTAAAATTGAAAATACATTGTTAGTTCATATCAATTTACAAAATTATTTCAGTTTAATGCAATGCAATACATAATAGATGCAATAAAAACAGGTATAATTTTATTGGATTAATTCCTAAATATCTAAACCATTTTTAAAGCATTTTCCATTCATACTTTGCTTCATTGTTTCTCATACCAACTCTTTGAGGAAGTTTGTAAAGGACTCTTCATCCCCAATTGTAGATGAGGAAACTAAGACCCTTGAAGGTAACTTGGATTTCCAAAGGTTAAAAAGCTTATAAGTGCAGGCTGGCTGCTCTTCCTTCTCATCTAGGTCTATTTCCACTTAAATTGTTAGTTTCTCATACATGAAATTGCAAGCAAATATAATTGCTTCTTTCTTAAATGATCCACAGTATTTAATAATTTTATAATTACGTAAGGTTGATGTATAATGAGCATGTTAGTTGTGTATCTATGGTATATTTTTATTATTTAAGGATCCTTGGAACTATCCAGCTCTTCCAGAGACTCTACCACTTTTCTGCATAATCTTATTTGTGCTCTTAATTTACATAGTAAGGTCTCTTTTCTGCAACCTTTGAAATTCTGAATTTGTGATGTAATTAATTTGGTTGTGCTCTGAGTAAACTTTAGGAAGCTGATGACTTACCGAATTTAAGACGAGTGTAACACTATTTAAGCACGTTCCTGACATACCACTTGGACATGGATGAAGCTCAACACTAACAGACCAATCTTTATCCTGTTAAAAAAAAATGCATTTCATTTAAATAATAATTTAAATGTTATTGATGACATGTTATTACTATTTTATTTATTCACACTGCATGTTTGCATTTTTAAATTAAATTTATTGGGGTAACATTGGTTAATAACATTTTATACGTCTCAGGCATACAACTTTATAATCCAACATCTCTAGATTCCATTGTGTGCTCACCACCCAAAATCAAGTCTCCTCTGTCACCACAATGCCTCTATACAATCATTCTGCTCTGAAAAGGGAATCCAACTTCAATCCATGGTATAGATTAAAATTGGTAAGAGCTTTACCGATCAGCTCTATCTGTGTGGCCTATGATTGGTGGTTTTTCATAGCCATTGTTTTTTCTTAATCTTTACTTTCTGTCTTCCCCTCCAAGGGAGTTGTGCTGTATGTGGAGACTAAGGTGAATTAGAGGCAACCTAGCTTGGTTAGTCTCTGGACAGTCCACATTGTCTATTTAGATCCTATGTGAGAGACAATTAATAAAACCTAAATATAATTCATGTCAAACATTGACTTCCAGTTCTCATTTTAAGATCTAGGAATCCCTAAACTATAAGAAGCAAATATTCCATACATTCTGGCATATTTCCTTCTCACTTTACCCATTCCCCATTCTCATGGATTACATGAGGCATACAAAAGGAAGGAAAGAAAATTTGGAAAACTGACTTTTAGCAGCAGCAAGTACATTTCTCAGAGTACTGGGCATTGGCCCGCATCTCTCACTTCAGGAATCACAAATTCTGTTCATCTTTGTTTCTTACCAGGAAGACTAAATAATATTACTTATCCTTATGCTAGCCGAAGGTACAAGCTATGAAATGGGACTCCCACTTTTATTAAAATTCAAACTATTTAAAATTTTAATACTGAAAAGAATTTAAATATAAGGACAGCCTCTATCATACTGATAATATTGTCATAAAACCTAAAAATAAATGCAAAGAATAATGATGAAAGAGAAAGATGCTTCATCTATAATAATAAAAGCATAATATGCTAATTAGACCAGACGTCCTTCCGGATGACCTTCCAGACGAAGCCAGGGCTGCAAGGGAAGCCTGGGTCCTGGGTGCCAGAGGGAAGCCAGTGCCGGCAGGCGGGGGAAGGAAGGCCTACTCTTGCACGAATTTCATGCATTGTGCCTCTAATAGAATATAAAGGATAGTTTCATTTGAAACACTAGTGAACACATGCAAAGAAAAGTAGCACAAATAATTTTCCAGTGCATTTAGAAAATTATTAGTGATGAAAGGGGCTTTGTTTGTTTGTAAGCAGGAATTTCTAAAGAGCACAGGTAATACTGGTTGCCAATGTCAATGTGATAGCAAACATACTGAAATATATAACCAGTACTTGAAAGGCTGTTTGTTATTTATTTTTTTAATAATTGAAGGTGAAGATTGTGTTTCAAATTAATTTAAAAATAGCTTGGAGCCTGTATTAGTTTTCTGAAGTGTTCGAGAATCTTACGTACATGGATGGCCAAAAAGTGACAGTTTCCAGGATGGTTATATTTTTCACCATCAAAGGTGGTAATTGAACTTCCTTCCACCTTACATCTTCCAGGACACATTGCTTCAGTGCAAGACCACTTTGCATCTTGGCATGTGCTGTTAAAATAAAATGGTTATGTTAAAGACCACCAATCACATCTTTAAGAAATCACAACTTACATTGACATTTAGTTAAGCTGTATTAGGCCATGCACATCCCCCACCCAACATCTCAGTTCTGATGTAATGCCTCACTGACAGTGGTATCCTGGTATTTTATTTAAAAGTCGTGAATTCCACTGAATAAAATGATAACATCCAACTGCATTAAACAAATAAAAACTTGTAAACTGAATCTCAGGTGCTTAAATGGAACATATTTCACTGTCAGAATTAAACATCTGCTACTTGCCCCATTGTAGACCTGCACTTTCCAATATAGTACAGAGTCGTATAGCTATTGATTATTTGGAATCTGGCTAGTCCAGATTGAGATCTACTTTAAATGAAAAATATACAGACTACGAAGACAACATGAAAAAAATTGTAAAACCTCAGCTTATCGTTTTATACTAGTTTTATGTTGAAATAATAGTTAAAAGTGTTAGTTATCTATGTGAGTGACATTCATGACTCACATTATACTTCTCTTGAACAGCATTTTTGTAGATATTTAATAAATCATACTATTGTTTTTATAATCATTATTAATAAATTATTACCACATGATTCAAACATTTTCTATTTATAGGAAAATTATTATAGTATAAGTACTACATTGTTTTTCATTGAGCTAAATCATTTCCCCAGAAAGACATCATATATTTCTAGAAAAGTCCTTTGGGATCCTGCAGAAATTTGGAGTTTCAGAGAAAAGTAATAATGAGGAATGGGGAACTCTCTCTCGTCAGCAAATTCTTGCTGCACTCAAAAGGAAGAATCAAGCTAACTATTCAAAGAGGAATAATCTACACTAGCCTTTGGCACATTAAAATCTACTCTGGATTAAATTTATCTCCACCAATGTAGCCTTTTATAGAATTATTTAAAAAGTGTTGGGCTCTTTCTGATTATACATTTTATTAAATATTCTTGGCAATTAGAATGATTACTATTTCATTATTGTAACCATACTCTTGTATTATTCTTTGTTCTCTATTTGCAACCACCAACTGGAGCACTATTCAAAACACTCTTTCAGTTAGCGGAAAACATTATCTTTTAAAGATACACAGAAAGTTCACATGTTTTATAAAAATATCACAATAAATATTCCTCAGCCAAAAAGATAAAATATTAACAAGGAAAATCCCTTGAGGCTGCTAAATTAGTCTGAAGGGTGGATTCAGGGATTATTTTAAATTAGACTAAAATATTCGTATTTTTTCACTATCAACAAAGTGAGGATGAAAAGCGCACACATACCACTGAGACCCACAAGGACCTTCTCGAACGTCTCCTGACAGGTAGACGTTTCCATTAGACTCACAGGGACAGTCGGCCTTCAGTACACATCTTCCTTTCTCTCCAATGTCATCCAACAGATAACCTAGAATACGTTATGTAAGGTGAATCTCAAGACGTATGAACTCCAGTAAATTCTCAAGCAGTGTATTGTGAAATGCCTGTTGAGCTAGTTCTGATGGGTGCAGACATGCACTTAACATAGTAATTTATATTTAAGCAGTTACTCCTTCTCTGAGAACTTGCAAGCATGTAATTTTCTGAACCACAGAGCAGTACTCCTGAGCCAAATATAGAATCAGAGGATAATGTGTGGGTACTACAGCCCTCAGGTACCACAGAGATAGAAATGCACATGAGCTTTAAAGGCCTCTCTCTAGCCCCCATCTGCAGTTTGCTAGAAGGCTGGACTATGAATAAGTGAATTCATTAAATATCTTGTTAGAGATAAGACTGCACTAGAGTGAGTCGCTTCTTTGTCAGGTCTTTTGGTGTAAATAGTATTACCTTCTGGGCAGGTGCAGCCACTCACACATTCACTGTCTTGAAAAGGAGCTACATTAGAACAAGTTGCAGGATTTGAGGGGCCACATTCTTTGTAGATATGTTTTTCTGGGCATTGAGGTTTTTCTGGAGAAATATAGAAACATTTATATATGAAAATTAGAGGAAAATTAATGTGATGAATATATAACATTCTAATGAAGATCTTTTCAAATAGGATTCTTTGAGTCTAATTTTCAAGATATATGTTTTTCAAGATATGCAGTACCACTATATTATGCCAATTGACCATGCATTATTTTATAATACAAAATTTAATATGGAGGAAATGCATGCTGTACATAATATCATTTCATCTTACTTTGATCTTATTTGTATTCTAACTTATTAAGATTGAGCTAAGCATACGTGGAAAGTATATATATGTTATGAAGCTTATATTTATGTTTTATTAAGACGGATCATGAGAATTCTCGTGTTCTCTGTTATTACACAGTGTTTTACAAAGTATCATACTTTAAAAAGATATTAGCTTGTAATAACATGTAATAAATAATTTCAAAATCCAATGGGTATTTAATTTTAAAGCATGCCTTTAACATTTATGTAAAACGTTTTTTGTACTCATTCAATAGAACCTTATCTGGCCACTGGGTAAAGCTAGCAATAAAACTACTGGTCTGCAATGTGTTAATTTTTTTGAAAGAAAATCATACTGCTAATCAATATCCTTTTGATAACATTTCCAGTACTTTTACAGTTTTTTTGTAGGGTTTTACTCATTTCCCCCAGTGAATTTTATTTATTGTAAATATCATGAAGTTCCTCATTAACATCTTTACACAAAGCTCTGCAACCTGTGGCGAGTTACTTCACCAAAGGGCCTCAGCGTCCTCGCAAGAACATGTGAAGACAAGACTCTATCATCTCTCAGTGCTTCCCAGGGCTTATAGTCATCTGAGAAGATCACTATGAAACACAGCTCAACTTTAAAGTCCCATACAGGGTTGGTCCAAAGTAGGTTTATAGTCATTCGTATGGAAAATAATACAATAATTAATAAATAATAATACAACAATAAGCTCTGTGTTTCGTGTACTCACTACTGTAAACCTACTTTTGCCCACCCCTGTGTAAATTTCCTGATTGGAAATCTACAATAAAATGAAAAACCTACCGCAAACCACATCAGAGTCTTCTCGCCAGGATTCGTAGGTGCCGGGACCGTCTGAGGCACAAAGGCGGGACAATTCTGAATAAGTGTCACATGTTGACGTTTTGTCTCTATTTTGGCAATACTCATCAATGCAGACCTTTTTGTAGTCACTGGATAAGGCAGAAACCTTTCCACATTCCTCAAAGTAGGTTCCAATAATTTTGTTACAGTACTGCAAAATAAAATATAAAGTTTTTATAAAACATTAAAAATGAACAAATGAATATTTAAGAAGAGAACAATTCAGGAGTACTTTTCTGCATAATATCCTGTGGTTTTGACAGGGAGGATTATTGGATGCTGGCTGAAATGAAGAATTTTTTAAGGATTATAGTAGATACAGTCACTCCTAAAATAGTACTTCACTTGTGGCATTTGAGTTGCTATAAAACAACTCCAAAAATTGTACCTGAATTCATCCCAAATTTCTCTAAATGTGACATGAGGTTTAGAACTTGAGAAAGTGGAAGAGGTGAGAAAAGGAGAGATCAGTTGATATCAGAAATTGGATGGTAAATGATTGATAACACAATAGACAGAAGGGATATTGGCCCTTTAACTGTGAGTCTGCTTATATTTGGTGAGCAAACAGATGACAGTAAAATGCAGTGACTCTGTTTTCTTGGTGTGGGCTATGTGAGTTTGTTCTGGAAACAATATATTTGTTCTCATGTTGGTTAAGAAAGTAAAAACATGTTAATGAATCCAAAAAGTTCAAATTTCAATATATCTTAACTACCGCACAACTATCTTCTATTTTAACCATTTTTGTTTGCTTTCTTTCAGGAAATGTGAAAGCTATTGCCAAACAAATGCACGATTTGCACTAATTAAATTCTGGGACAACTGATAATATTCTCCAAGTGAAGTATAAAATAAAGTGAAATAACACCTGCAAAGATTGCTTTTACATTTATTGTCCTTTGTTACTTTCTCACTAGATTATAGGTCCCTTTAGGGCAAGAAATATAACATTGAATTTAATATAGCATGGATTAATACCAGGTCTTGGATATAGTAGGTCTTTATCAAGTATTCACTGGCTTTAACATAAATTTATGTAAACATTCAACTAACATTTTTAAGCAACAGGGGTAACTTCTCACACAGTATGCAACTACCACAACAAATGAGACATTATCACGCAACTCATACATAATCTCATAGAAAACGTATGAGAAAAACATGGGAAATCATTATAGATGGTGTCTGATTGTAAGGACCAATGAGTGACACAGGGAATGAAGGAAAGAAAAGGCATTCTAAGTGCAAAGATCAAGGAAGGTTTCACAAGGAAGATAGTAGATGATCTTGCATAACGTCACGGTTTAATTTGATTTGTTAAAAGATGACAAGATGGTTATAAATGTAACACCCATTGTCAATAGAACAAAAATTTCTTCTATCTTTTGATCTTGAGAACTTTGTTCTAGATTGAAACAGGAATATGTGAATATTCATTCAGTCACCAAATGAATCTATCGAATTCAACATAACACAAGGTTGGAAAATTCACAGAGTAAGTAATGACTATTCTCAATTGTCATAGTCAAAAATATTACCTGTAATGCTTTTAAAAAGAAGGTAAAGGATATAAAGGACGACAATTCAGACTGGTTCTCTGGGGCAAAAGTAAGAAAGCAAGAACAGAAACTAGTTCTTAGGGACACTGTACATGGATTTCTAAACTGTAAGAGTCAAGTTAGTACCCATGAAGAGGTAATAATGCAGAGGGGAAATGTGTAAATTTACAGACAAATGAAAACACTATGCAAAGGAAATTACAATTGTCACACTAATACATAATTAATATCATAGTGTTTTGGGGAGAACATTATTTTGTCCTCTTTAGTTAGACTAAAGCTCACACTACAGGGACATTGGAGGGGAAGCAGTTGCAGAATTCTAAGATGTTGGTGCTGAGAAAGGATGCTGGCTATCTAAATTGAAACCCAGGGGAATATTGCAGAAATTTGCTACTAGTGAAATACTAATTTCTTACTTCTACTCCATCTTCGCAAGTTTGATAGGTTTTACTAGTAGCTTCAGGGCAATCACCAGCAATTTTACTCTTGGCAATGTGCTCATTGATGTCTTCTCCTTAAAAAAAAGCAATGTTTGATTCACAATACGCATTACATGTACACGTTATCTTCAAGTTAAACATAGACTTGACAACATAAATATAGACATATATTTATTTTAACATTTTTTCATTCTTTAGACAAATGCAAAGTGTTGTTACAGTTATCCAAACATGAGCATTTACTTTATAATTTTCTTTTGGGAAGCAATATTCTTGTTCATAATAAATTGAAATCTTACCTGGAGTGGTGTTGAAATTACCACAAAGACCGCAAGTTGGATATTGCTTGTGAAGAGTGAGCTTTAAAAGAAATGTATATATTTATAAAATATTGAAAATATCTTAAGACAAGATTTACCCAAAACAAAGAACATGGCTCTTAGTATTTTATTCTATCTAAGCTGGTTACTTATGAATGTACTACCAGGTGTGTGATTTTTAAGAACCTGGCTCTAGAATTTGGAATAAATCCTGACTCCACCACTTACTAACTGTGTCTTTGAGTAGGTTATTTAACTTTTTCATTAGCGTGAATCTCATGAATTCCATCATCTTTAAAATAAGATTAATAATAGTATGTACTTCAAGATGTTTTAAATATTAAGATAATGGTTAGTACAGTGACAAATACATAGAGATTGCTCAATGAACTTTAGCTCTGGTTTTATAATGTATTGTTTTTGTAACTAAAAGCAAAGAAAAAAATAGCACAGGATTATAAGAAAATCAAAGATAAACTTACTGAGAGTTTGTTATTTTTGTCCCACATTAATGACAAGATTCCTCTACGGCTGTTCAGGACATTATATTCTCCATGTTTTTTAATGTGAATCAGCTTGTTGTTATATGGTATCTGTACACTGAAAAGTATAAAACACAAGTACATATAAATGTAAAAAGTATTCTTATAACACCTTTGGTAATTCATTTTTCTATAGTTAGAAAATCTGTCTAGTAATTATTAAAGTTTTCTTTTTTATATCATTTCAGAAGAGATACAGTGGTTCTTTTCCCAATATTGGAAAGACTTTTAAGAAACAATGAATAAATCTTTGGGACTTTGGAGTAATTAACAACAACAACAACAAAACACAGTGGTTCAGTATAAAAAAATAATGATGAAATAATTTGAAATGTTCACAAATAGAATAATATGCCACATTTTCTTATCCTGGTAAGTATTCAAATATGCTATCCCTTCCAAATGTAAATTACTATGTCTGTAAATCATGGCCTATGGGCTTCAATCCATTATAAAACCTCAAGTTTATATTTAGTGTTAAACATACAAATAAAAATTAAAATATTCTTTAAACAGTTTTGTTGAATACACATGTTGCTCAAAATCAAGATACTCAAAATAGTAAAACAACAGACATCTCTTTTTTCCCTACCTTGTTATAGAAATAAATATATTTTACAATCCCACATATATCTGTATTATAAAGTTACCAAACTCTTTTCCAATAATTTATTAAAAATATCAACATGCATCAAAATAGGAAAAGAGTATACATCATCTCTCACCATCTCTTTATCCATACACTATTTCATTTACCTTTCTCCATTAACTAAAATGGTGTCACCAGATATAGAGATGTCATTATTGTCAATTAAAACCGTTATTTTTTCAATCTCACTATCAGTGTTTCGTTTGATCTCAATATTGAAATCTCCAGAGTCAACGCAGTGGCGGCAGAAAGTGTATGTGCATGGTGACTCAAAGGAAAAGATACGGCCGTTGAAAGCTTTGTATGCTCCTTTGTCCCAAGTAGAAGCTTCACCTGTAAGATATTTAGAATAGAATATTCATAACTATTCAGACAATTAATGTATTATCTAGTTCTGATTTATAAAAGTGTTTATTCACCAAGGTAAAAAAAAAAAATCACTGAAAGATTCTATTCTCACAGCCATTAGCTTTATTCATTAGTTTTCTTTCTCACATACTGCAAAAGCACACTAAAAGTACCACCTGAGGTCTTGGGAAAACCCAAAGTTGGCTATATGGCAAAACAAAACATGAATAAAACATCTTGTTTACATTGGAAGAGGGAAAATGAGTTTACTATGGGGAGGAATCTATGGAGGAAACTGGTGGTCTGCATAATTGTTCTGCTCTTTATACAGATAGTCTTTTTAATGTTGTCTGAGTTGGTTAACATTTATATCAAATGAGTGTAAAGACTTCTATTATTTCTTTCTATACATATATATATGCACATGTGTACATGTGTGTACATGTGCATATATATTTATGTGTCTTTGTATGTATATTTGAGGAAAAATAGTACTGATGTAATGTTATTCATACATACAATGAACAAATAGATAATGGCAAATTGGTTACTTTATACCTCGCTAGAGGCCTGGTGCACGAATTCATGCACTAGTGTGGTCCCTCCACCTGGCCTGCGGGATCAGGCGGAAACCAGTTCTCTGAAATCCTTCGAGGGGTCCCAGATCGTGAGAGAGCACAGGCCATGCCAAAGGACCCCACTGGTGTATGATCAGGGCCGGGGAGGGACTCGAGAGGTTGGCCAGCCAGGGAGGGACCTCGGGAAGGCTCCAGGGCACGTCTGAGCCGTAGCTCATTCCCAATCAGCTGGACCCCAGCAGCAAGCTAACCTACTGGTTGGAGCATCTGTCCCCTGGTAGTCAGTGCACGTCATAGTGAGCAGTTGACGTGCCTTAGCATATCATTAGCATATTACCCTTTGATTGGTTGAACAGTTGACCAGATGACCGGACACTTAGCATATTATGCTTTTATTATATAGGATTAGGTACTGACTAGCTTAGGCATATAAATATGAATAAGAATCACAATAATTTTTACTTACCAATAATTGTATTTGTTTCTGAGTATGTGGGAGTTGCTTCTGGAATATGAGATCCTTTTTCTATTCAATACAATGCATAGATTAGTAAAATTTCAGGACCTATATTGATTTTAAATATATATTTCATTTGGGCATCTATATGGAAATTAAGACATTGGTACTAAAATCTATAAATGGGGATTATTTTATCCTGAATATATAATTTTATTTTGTGAGAGCTGTGATTTGCCAAGGTCATACACATGATTATCTCTGAAATTCATATTTTTTCTTGGGGCAATCAGCCATAGTAAGCTCAGAAATTAAGAGCTTATTAATTTTGGGCATCTACAATTACAAACACATGTTGCATCCCTAACAGAACTATTTTTTTCAACTATAAATTTTTATTGGCTATTGCCCAAACAGGCCCAAGATAGATTGTATTAAACCAGTCTACTATATAGTACTGATAATTCAAATATATATATATATATATATATATATATATATATATATATACTAATTTTCCTGATCAAAGGGAAAAATCAGTATACCTTGAAATTTGCTTCTCATGACTGTTTATTTCTAATACACTGACCCTTTTATGTAACCAAGTAAATTTATAAGAAATCTTGGAGCAACATCTAAATGCAAGCATAATAAAACAACAACAATAACAAAAGTAAAGATTTTTATATAAATTTAAAAACATTTTTTACAATGCCATTTATTGTGTATCTTGAAGCCACTTCTCTTCACAACAGGCTGTCTTTACTAGGAGTGAGCGGAAATAGTTTTAACTCTTTATTCAAAACTAAATTTTAAAATAATATATCTAAAATGATATAGAAGTTGCACTGTATTTTATTCAGGTTGACTTAAAATAATTTACTCTCTCTTATCCATGAAATTGTTTCAAATAAGCACTTGGTTATCTAAACTTTAGTACTCAAAGAGAAGAGCACTTAGAAACTCATCTCAATATGAGAAACACATAATAGGATATTATTTACTAGTGTTATTTCTTATACTTTATATAGATTATAGATATATATATATATTTTTCAAAACTGAAGTCAAAAATTAAACTACCTGGAGTACTGGGCGGTCCCGTGGTACTGTAGTCAGATGAGCTTGTCACGCCTGTTTAATACAAAATGATTAGGTTGTTTATGTGTATCTTTTAGTTGGTAAAATATGAAAAAGGGTTTTACAATCTTATGGAAAAGCTATGGCTCCAATTACAGCAATGCACTGGCTGGAGTAACAGAATGAAATGTCTTTCCACTAAACGGACTGACACAAAATTACTCTATTCCAGATCAATGGCCTTAAAACTTATTCAGGAAAAGAGGTAAGAATTGCAGAGAAAGGGTTCCAGGTCTCCTATCCCAGTTTCAGTCACACTTCCTCCCACTTTAAATTATTTCACATTTGGGAAATCTAGCTGCCATTTCAAAATGTCAATTGAACAAAGTATTCTGCATTCCTAAAAGCTGGAAGTGTGAAAATCAAGAATCTAGATGAACAGAGATATTCGTCTCAAGATGTGAAATGTCAAGGGAACCACAATCTGCCATTTCAAAGCCACTAGATTTACTGCCATTAAATACACTACCAGAAGGAACACTAATCAATAAAAGTCTGTCTGATTGAGAAAAATGAAAGCAGTTGAAAGCTAACTTTCAATGAGCAGAAAAATCTCAAATTAGCAATTACTCCACAATAGAAAGATAGGAGGCAATTACTTCTCAGTACATGTCTCAGGAACAAAACCTAAATGTGTATGCCTGAGCTAATGGCAGCAGATCTGAGGGTCAGAAATCCAGGGTCCCTTAAACCATTTGTACCAACTGTGCCTAAAGGAAGTCAGTGGCAATAAATTACAGGTGATTTTAAATTTCTCATTCCTGTTGAAGTGTTGACCTCTACATTGATGTCCAAAACTTAAGAAAAACCCCAAATAATTATTGTTTCTATATGACCAAGTCTCTTTTGAACAGATTGATTGATGACCAATTCTGCCTGAGGTCAACCATTACTACACTGCACTGTATCTATTACTAATTAGACTTCACCAAGTTTCCAGAGGCACAAATACTAAATGCAGCCCAACATGCTGTACTGATGCTATCTGTTCATTTTAAAAAAGATTGTCACTGGGAAATATTTAATTACATCTTATGACTCTTTAGGTTTTATGCACAAAACCTGAAGAGTAATCCCTAGAATCTGATTTTCCAGTGTCCCCTATTTCATTTTAACCAAGCCTTTTTGTTCAAGAACACTGTGCCAACTCCACAGGACAGAATTACCAAGACCAAATCCAAATAAACTCTTCTTTTACCACCAAGTCTAAAATTAAAAGCAAATGGAAAATGAAACTGTTAGCAGGATCAATAAGCAAAGGATATAAATTATTTGTATTTTTTTGTTCTTAATAGAGCCTGGATCAGAATTCCTGAGCCACTGACATGGGAGCCAAAGCCCATGGATTTACCAACAAATTTTTTGCTGTTCTTTCCTTTTCCACTAACCTCCATATCTTCTAAGATAAAGAGCTCTGACACAAAAAAATATCTGGATTTACTGTGCTTTATTAATCCATATTTCTTTCACTGGCTTAAATTTTTAATATAAATTTCTATTTATCAACACTTTTATAAATCTACTTTTTCCTGACATTTATTTTTCAAGAAAACTAGTTCGAATATGACTAATAAAACTTGTAAAGTTTTAGTGTAGTATAACTTATAAAGCATTGCAAAAGTCATGGAAATATAAGACCAAAAATTTTTGTTCTTATGTCAAAACTTGTGAACAAGAGAATTTTTTAAAGTATTATTTTATTGAATTAGAGAGAGGGGGAGGGAGGGAGGGAAAGAGGGAGAGAGAGAGAGAGAGAAAGAGAGAGATAGAGAAGAGAGAAAGAGGAAGGGAGGTA